CCCCCCCCTGCGACCGCCACTGCATATATAGGCGTTTTACGCATTAAGATATCATAACATTGAAGCGATACTTACTTTGAGCCGTTTTTTGAAGTCCTCTGTCCTTGAAAAATGGCTCTGGGTTGACTTGAAAAGCTGTATGTGGCCGACACGTTTGGTCCATTATCGGAAGACATCTTCCGAGATAAAACTGCGGCCATGCCGTGTTTTTCACTCAAAGATTTGTCCACACACACCATTTGTCCGCACAGGCAAGACCCGCACTGCCTGGTATCAGAAAGTATCTAACTCATAAGGTCGGCGGCGGCATGTCAGCCGGTGCTCAGCCATGTTTATCGATGCGGCGTCCCGCCGTTGCCATGGCGACAAAGGTCGGCGCCGGCTCGCTGGAATGCGGAGGAGTATGCGATTGCGGGCGGCACAGGCGGCACGTGGCTGACGCAGGAATGGGATATCATTGGCTATGGATTAGGTAGGTACATACATAATGGCTAATGATGTCTTTCCGCCCTGAAGATTGGTCCGAGCAGCCCTGAGGTATTATGCACAAGGCACAAGCAGCCGAAGCAGGGCTGCGGAGTCGGAGTCGGAGTCGGAGTCGGTCGGAGTCGGTCGGAGTCGACAGTTTTGCCCGGAGTCGGAGTTCGAGCTGGAGTCGCCAAAATCATGCCGACTCCGACTCCAGGGTCGGAGCTCGGAGTCAATTTCGCATGACTCAGTCATGCCGCAATACTTATTACGGGCGAGCGAGCGCAGCGAGCGAAGCGAGTCTTTTCAATATAACGGAAAAATCTCAGTATGAGCGGCCCGGCCCGGCCCGGCCCGGCCCGGCCTGTAACGCTTTTGAGAGGCTTATATCTCAGCATTAGCAACCGCTGGACCTATTGGCCTGCGGTCTTTTTTGCTGGGTTATGGGTAGCCCCATCCCTTCTACCCCGTAATTGACTACTTTTGATACATCTCAGTGACCGTCGTGGCACGTGCCACGTGAAAAGTCAAGGGTGTTCAAGCTGTTTTGCAAAAGTGGTGATTTTGAGAGGCTCATATCTCAGCAGCCGCTTGGGCGATGGACTTGCGGTAATTTTTATAGGGTAGCTGCATCCTTTCTACCAAAAAAGGATACTCTCGATACATGTGGGTCACCCCCAGTGCACGTGCAAAATACAACAATAAGAGGTGTCAACTTTGTTCCCATTTTAATAACTCGGTAATTACTGGGGCGATTTCGCTGAAACTTGGCATACAGGTAGGCACTAGGCACCCACCAGGCAATGCATTCCCATGTGTTGCGGTTAGGGTGCTACTGCACGTGCGCACGTGCAGGGGGCGCTTCCAGATCTCGAGAACGGCTGGGCCGATTGCGCTCAAAATTGGTACACGGTTGGAGACCGGTTAGGAGGGTGCCGTGCAAAAGTCAGTTTGGACCCGTTTGCACGTGCGCACGTGCAGAATGCCGCTTCCAGATCTCAGGAACGGCTGGGCCGATTGCGTTCAAATTTGGTACACCGCTAGCGACCGGTTAGAAGGGTGCTTTGCACAAGCCCGTTGGAAGTACCCTCTCGCCCTTCCGCACGTGCAGGGCTCACTATCTCGCTCGCTCGTTCTTCGCCCAAAAGGCGTTTTACTGGTAGGTAGGTACATGCAGGGTTACTTTTAAAGGGGGGAAAGGGGGAATTTCCCCCCCTCGAAAATTCCGATCCCCCTTTCAAATTGTGTCAGAATGGCTAGGGGGGGAAGGGGGAATTTCCCCCTTTCAAATTTATTTTTGAGCCCATTTTCAATTACTTCGCTATTCAGATTCTATAATCATCGTTATTCAGATTCCAGTCATCAATCAACGTTGCTGGCGTAATACATATATTATCAATGGCAGTGGCACCGCCCGGGCGAAACTTGGAATATCCGGCAGACCTAAGCACTGGCACAGCGTGTCTTCATTATCGGAGACCCGGGTGTGAATATGCACGTGCTATTCCATATTTTCATCAGCCGCCAGGGAAAAACGCCCGGCTGGCGGCTACCGTGCAGTCATCTCGTGTCTCGTCGCGCTGCGGGCGGGTTATTTATGGCGCAGTGGTTTTTCAAAATGTCTCGGCCAAAACAAACGACCATTTTGAGCGTCATTCAAAATCCTAAAAGGCAAGCAGTAAATGAAAATATCGCCAGTGGTAGCGAGACAGAGATGTCTGACAAAGCGGAGGCAGACCAAGACCAACTTCCTGCTGGCTGCTGCTCCCGCCCCAGCTCCCACCGAGGCCGTACATGCTCCCGCCAGTGCCACCACAACCGCGATGCCGGCCGTGCCTGTGCCAAAGCCGCCTGGACCACTGACACCTGATCAGTGGACTAGGTGGCAGAAAAAGCGGCCATGGCTTGATGTGAAGGACGGCAAACTGGTCTGTCGGACTTGCACGAAGATTGGCAGCCTAGGTAAGTTACCTGGAAATGGAGGGCACACTCTCTATCCTTGTGAATATTCGCAAATCCCGATCCGAACGCCGATTGCCGAACATAAATTTAATGTTTGCACCAATGCATCAGCCACGAAGTGTGTCCGAGCGTGAGCCAGGGCTTCGCAGGGAGGAGAGGGCGTGCAATGACTCATTTGTAGAAAAGGACGCGGCTCGCACGTGGGAGAGGGGGCGCTCTCTCTCCTCTCTCTCTCTTTCAGTCATGGATTCAACTATATATAATCTCGTTGGATCCCCTGCCAAAATGCTCACCCGGATCTATGGCCCCTGTGGATCCCGATACAATTTCAATAAACCGTTTGCCAGTTTTGATTAAACTCATGACCTACTCGAATTTTATTCCCCTACTGGCGGATCCAGAGGGGACATTTGGGGCAAACGCCCACTCCCCCGCAGCGCCCGAAATCGACGAAAATTTACAGTTTTTGAGGAATAAAACGAAAACTAAACAACTTTTATTAGGAAAAGTTTGTTTTAAACTGCGCAGCAGTGGGTAAGGAACCGAAATCCGATGAGTTTTTGGAATTTAGAGAAAGTTTTTTTTTTTTGGGGGGGGGGGGGGTATGCCCCCCGCAGCGTCCAAGATTACCTTTCTGGATCTGCCAATGATTCCCCCCCTCAACTTTTCCTGTAAAAGTAACCCTGGGTACATGTTTCCTAGAAAGCATTGGAACATTCCAAGACGTGCAAGGCATGGTTTCAGCCTTCACTTTCAGGCAAGATAAATAAAAGATATCAGACGTAAATTTTTGCCATCACGATTGGACAAAAGACGAAAAAGTCGGGATGTCTGAGTCGATTTTTGAGGCCGGAGTGGGAGACAGAGTCACCGAAAAATCCATCGACTCCGCATCCCTGTCACTGTGCACAAGAATGATGACGATGCAATGCATGCAACAATGGTTTGCAATGGATGCAATCGACGCAATGCATTATGCATAGGGATGGTGTGATGGGGTGTGATGGTGTGATCATAGGTGGCGGAACGAGGGGGCACCGGGGTCCGGGGCACCGTGCCCCCTTGATTTTGCCATTTTAACATTAGCCCTATGGGCGTTGCATGGAAAGAATGGGACCAAAAGTCGGCAGTGCCACTCCTCCTCAGGTGTTCCGCTGCTACTGGGTGTGATGTGTGTGACGTCAGACGTGTGTCATGTAGGATGCCGCCCTGGCGCCGCCTTCGGCGGTGGAGGCCCGGAGGCCGGAGGGCGGCATTTTTCGATAAGCTAGGGGCTTCGGTCCCTAGGCCAAGGCCTAGGGACCTTGGCCTAGCCTAGAACTCCCTAGGCTAGGCCGTAGGCCCTCCCCCAAGAATCAAGATGACTTACTTCTCCCCCCCCCCCCCAAATCCGCGCCTGATAAATTTAATGTTTACTACGGTGGTTTTATTGAACCGTCCCTGATTGGCCAGCTTTTTAGTATACGTCATAAGACCTATTTAGCAATGTTCTATTCGCACATAGAGTTCAGTGATTCCTTCGCACCGAATAATACTGTCGACCAAGGCCATCTATAGAAGGTACAGTCACTCTCCCGCCGACCAATCAGAGACAGATCCTGAGTGACGTCACCCCTGATGCTCGCAAGGGGTACTCCATTCCTTTCAACGTAAAAATGACTAATTTCATTTGAAGATTGTTGATGGCACTCTACACATAACGCTCAGCCGTTGATGTCAATGGAAAGCCCAACTAATTTTCCAGCGACAAAAAAGAGCAGCAATATGCTAAGAAATGGCCGGTTTTGAAGATATAGGGCCTGTTCCAGCGCCTCCAGAAGAAATTCTTGACTGGAGGCTCTACCAGAGGTTTTACTGGAGGCGCTGGAACGCAATCTGGAGATTTCTGGAGATTGGCGTCATAGATACCAAAAGAATGACGTTTGTTCTCTCTTGAAACGCAAAATTTGTTTTCAATTTTAGTTAAAAAGATAAATAAAATTATAGCAATGTAATTTTCTTTACATTCAAGTTGTAAAATAATCAGTCAAATGTCCTTTGTCTACATTCGTGATTGTCACATGTGCACCATAATTGTAGACCAGAGCCTCCAGAGAAATTTGGACCTCTCAACTCTCTGGAGGCTACTGGAGGTTTCTGGAGCTTTGGCGAGAGCTTTCTGGAGCTTTCTGGAGGCGCTGGAACGCTCTCTGGAGGATTCTAGAGCTTTCTGGAGCTTTCTGGAGGTTTCTGGAGGCGCTGGAACAGGCCCATAGACGATTTAAAAACCCTCTGCAGCAGCAGGAAAGCAACGTAGAAACGCACCGAGCTTATATTTTTACTTTGGATAATTCATTTTTCAGTAAGTTTTTAGATATGGTATAGATTTGAGTTGCAACTTTATTACAGTATTTTCATTACTTGAAACTTTATTTCAAAATAATATTTTCAAAAATGGCAGCTGTTGGCCAGTAGCTTGGGAGCGATTGTGGCGCACCGCGCCATTAATTGTCCTGAGGCCCCCTTATGATGTCATCAAAAGTGGAGTGACATGGGCCTGCTGTCGACAAACAATTTCTGCGTGCGTCATAAATGTCTTGTATTTTTGTGTGAATTGTTTATTTGTGATATTTTGATTTGTGTGACTGGTGTGGTTCCACGGACTCCATTTTCCGTGACTTTCCTCCCTCTGAAAGCTAGACATTGAAATACAAAATACCGAAATATACGCCCGTCTCGAAGACTATAGGCCGTCTGACAAAGCCCATTTTTTCCTCATCAAAAGGGGCTTGTTCAACGGCTGGTCGCTGGCCTGGAACTTGGACGCATATCATTTTTCAGTCAAACGTAAGTACCTACCCATTTTTGTTTCTTAATTATTGCCTCTTGCCATATAGCCGCCTTGTTGCTGGTGCGCCCGATAACACCAAATCATTTAAGTGACCATCCCACCTTAACATTAGTTTTGAGTTGAGATAGCCAAATTGGTGGCCATGGCCTGCAAATACCGGTTTGGGCACGCGCACTTCCAAAATGAGTGCTAGAAACAGCAGAGATCCCAAAAAAGTAAACAAAAGTAAAACTTGTAAACTGGTGAATGTCTTTTGGTGAAATTTGGTAGATATTCATTTTTGCTCTTTCTGAACCGAGCGACATCACTTTTATGCCAATTCATTAACTTTTTTGAAGGTGGGAGGGTCCCTTTAATCATTGCCTGCCCATTGCAATGCCCAAGTATCATGACTCATGCTAGTTTCACAAACAGCACAAATTATGCTATTCATAAAATAAATGTTCTGAAATATACTTGCTTTGAATCAAAATACATAAGTGTTTGAGATAGACCTAGAAATGTGGTGTCTTGTTCTAAGCAGTTTTTGAAATCTGCTCAAGATGCAGCTTTACCAGCAATCAAATTTTGGATATACCAAACTGGTCATTTTAAGTGAAGCTGTTGTTTTACTTTTTTGTCCATTTCCAAAAATAATTGGATGGAATAACCCCCTAAGTGACAAAGTCAATGTTGAAAACAAATGGTAAAACAAAAGTTTTGTCAATCCACAGAACATTCACATAAACATGCACTTGCGTAGGTGCACATGTGCTCAAATTGTAAAGAGAAATGACAAAGGTATTTGTATAAAATGGGAAATAAGAAATAAAAGCAAGCTGGCTAATGGCTATATAAACAGCTTGGTAGGTACCTATATCAATATGTGAAGACAAAGTCTGGGTGGTATGTAGGTTGATAGGTTGTAGGTTGGTTGGTTGTAAGGTTATAGGTTGGTAGGTTGTTCCTGGTTAAAGGTTACTAAATATTAGATTAGTAGGCAAGGTTATTTTAGGCTAGATTATGGTTTTATCTACTCAGACCTCATCTTCACATTTCCCAACAGTTCAAGCAGTTCCTAAAGTGAAGCAGTGTACCTTACCATGAAAAATGTAATAATTACATATCACTTCACATATCTTTGACAGTTGCCTTCAAATTTTCCAGCAACTCAGAAAAAGTTGATGCACAAAATAGTATGAGGCAGCCTTATTGATGTTTTCACTTAAATGATTAGCTTTTGGTGTGGTTAATTGAAATTTGTAGCAGACTGGCAGCCACCAAACTCACATTCACATATGGAAACTGACAGCCAGCAGTTTCTGGTTGTTGCAACTGGCATCAGAGGCCAGTTTTACTATGCTTAAGTATATTTTTCATTGCTTTAAGCGCCTTAGTTATAAGTGCACATAGGGGCTCCATACTTTCAACACTTGCCAGCCAACTGAAAATACCACCTAACTCTTCATTTTACTTTTTAACTTTCTGATCATACTTCATTGCTATTGCTCGCTTCATGCCATATTCAGTTATACACTTTGAGCAATCAGACAGGCTTTAAAAAAATCCAACTATAACGGACAGTTTTTTATTCTCCCAAGTTCTCCTCAAGTCACAAGTTAAACTGACCACATAAAAAGTATTATGTGCTTCATGTACCTGGCCAAGTTTTGGTTGGCTCTAGGCAAAAAATAAAAAAACTGCCATTTTTTCTGTTGGTAAAATATGGTTGTTACATGGTTGTTGGATAAACTTTCCTAAGCTGGTTAGTCAGGAGGCTTAATAATGAAATTTTTAGTTCTTTCTAACTAATCAGTTCTTTACATTCACTGAAACATGTATGAATTTGACTTAAATAATCTTTTCATTTCCTTTGACCAATTGAAGGTAGTAGGGCGAAGATGCTGTTTTCCTAACCAAGTTGTAATTTTCTTTTAGTTGTTCCACAATCTTGCCCCACCGGCCACTTTTTGATATTTCACCTTATTTCTAACAGAAGTTTGAACAATATTTCTTTTCATGAAATATAATTGAATACTGTTAGACTGTCCAATGTCCATATCTGCTATAATAATAGCATTATTATTGCTATCAATGATTCATCCATACTTTGAATAACAAGTATTACAGCTTGTGGAAATGAATGCAGCAAATTTGAAATTCCTTGATAAACAAATATTAGACATCTGCATTCCTACATGTTGCATATTAACCAGATACCTACAAGAGAGCCTGTGGCATTGTAAGCACCATTAAGAAGGACCCATATTCATGTACTGCGCCTGGCTTAGTGAACCAATTAGCAGATCATGGAATCGCTGACCAGACTGCTGGTGAGTGCCCAACCTAATCCTAAGCAGATTGCAGATTTGTTCCTGCTGGCAATTATCTCTAAACAGTGACATTGATGGTAGGAGCTGGGTGGTGCTCCCATCGACTGCCGCCCGCTGTGTGGCGCTGCCGCTGCCGTGCTGCTGCTGACGGCGAGGTGGCGCTGGTGCCGCCGACTCCGCCCGGCCGGCCCGACACAGGCGGCGTCACTGTCGCCGTCCCCGGTCGCGGGCGGAGCGGCTCTGTACTGGGGCGCGGCCGGCTCCGCGGGCCCGGGAGAGCCTCTGTGGCGGCCCTGGCCGGTGTGAGAGGACGGCGCCGCCGGCGGCCGGGCCCACTGAGTGAGCGCTGTGTCCCGCGTGTGCCGGCAGAGCGGCTCGACCATGACGCAGCCGTCGGCGGGCGCGGCGCTGAGCGAGGTGCTGGCCCAGCTGGAGGAGCACCAGCCCACGCTGCCGGACGCCGTCACCGCCCACTACCTGGCAGAGGCCGGCCTGGACACGGACGACCCGCGACTCGTCCGGCTCATCGCCATCGCCGCGCAAAAGTTCGTCTCGGACGTGGCGCACGACGCGCTGCAGCTGTACAAGATGCGCCAGGCCAGCCTGCCCTCCAAGAACAAGGCCAAGGACAAGAAGTACGTGCTGACGCTGGAGGATCTGACGCAGGCGCTGGCTGATCACGGCATCCAGGTGAAGAAGCCGGCCTACTTTGTCTGAGTGCAGCCTGCCGAGGGGGAAGTGGCGAGCGACTGGGGGGGGGGGGGGTGGACCAGTGCTGCTTACGAGAAGTGTTGGAGGGGGGGGGGGACGTGCACCTGAAATGGGGTAGTGTAAAACATGCTCGCCCTAAATCATTCCGCTGAATGAGTGGTGAATGCTCGCGGAAAGTGACGGTTCGTGGCTTGCCGAACTGTATTTTGTCAGGGGGGGGGGGGGAGGGGGTTGTAAGTAATGGAAAGTAGCATCATCCAGTGTTCTTTTCTGCTGCTGGACTGGATACCATTTCGTTTTCTGTGCTTCATTCAGTGTGTGCATTTCCATGGGCGTCCCTATCGATGTACCCACCGCTACTCGTTTGCGTTCAAGCCTTTCGGTGATCACTGCGTCTCACACTTACATTGCTTGTCATTAGCTCCGGCTCTCACTCATCTCAGTGCTATCTGCTGCCGCGATTCTCGACATAACTTTGTATGACTGGTCGGGCCTTTTGAAAATAAAAGCTACAAAAAAATGCTAAACGATGTTTTATCTCTGGTTTTGAAATGTCAATACCAAGAGCGACTCTGCTTGACGTTCACACGAAACTAATGCCTTGGCTCCATCAGGTCCCATGAGATTACTTTGAGTAGCTATCAAGCCTTACCGAGCTATTGGGTTGCTTCTGACAAACTACACTTCAAAGTCAATCAGTCAGCAGTTATCCACGATCACTTCGTTTGTTGATTGCTGTGCTGTAACCGGGAAGGCGCAGTGGCGCTGCCGGTTTGCGTGAGATATCTGGCACTCCGCTCCTCATTGCGGGAATTAACCATCGGAAAGATGATGTTGTTTACCATCATATAAATAACGGCTAAACCATGTAACATGTTTTTCGTAATTACGCTTGACACCGTAAAGACGTTATGAATTATGATTGAAATGTCGCCCCCGTACTCCTAATTACCAACGTATGATGGTAGGTAACCAATGTAACACGTCTGGCGATTAATGACTAGGCATGCCGTTCATGTCTGCTGCCGTCGGCCTGACTGATCACGTGACTGACGCACCCCTCACCCTAGTGTTATTGATATTGGCGCCGTGCGGTGGGCGTGCCGACACGTGGGGTCCGTTGGTCACTGAGTGACTCAGCAGTCAGCACCAACTACCGCCGGCGGGCCTTTCATCGGACCGATCCAGGGCCGGCAGTGAGCTGAGCGGCCGCCTGACCGACCGGGTCGCCCCGGGCCCACCACCGCCCCGAGTCCCCCTGCCGTCATCCGGCGACCTCAGCGGCCGGCGGTGGCGCCCGGGGGCTATCTATAGCGCCGACGGCGGCGGCCGAGGTGTCTGCCGGCCGTCTGCGCGCGCGCCGGCCGCCGGCTCTGACGCCGCGCCGCGCCGGCCTCTGTCGTCAGGTCCAGTGCCGGCGCCGTGATGGCCTCCGACCGGCCGCAGCTCGTACAGGCGCTCTACTCGTTTAAGGCGACCAACAACGACGAGCTGACGTTCAAGAAGGGCGACGTGATCACGCTGACCCAGTGCGATGACGCCGACTGGTGGGAGGGCACACTGGGCGATACCACCGGCTGGTTCCCGGCCAACTATGTCAAGGAGTGCTCCGCGGCAGGTGAGAGACCGGCAGGGGTCGGGGAGGGGAGGGGGGCACGAGCGATGGATTGAGGGCTTCTTGTTGTCTCGTGTATGCTTTGTTTGGCTATAAAAGATGGAACTGTTTAGCGGTGAGGTCAGCATTCGGACTTACCGTGTCAATTTTATCAATCGTCGGTGTAGACTGTCGCGTGTAGTGTCTCTTGCTGCATCTGCTGAATATTTGATTCCAGCGTCGCTAGGTCTTGAATTCGAGTGAAACTGTGTATGAATGGTAACCCGGTTATCAATGCTGCAGATTGTTGTCATCAACTCGAGCGTTTAATCTTTAATCAATATCTTTCGGACATAACTATTGGCCCAAACAACCTGCCTCAAATGACGGCGAGCCAAAAGCATTTACCGTTTGGTACGGCTCAATTGGCTTCAGAGATCACACCCTGGTTTTGCTCGCATGCGTTGAATCTATCCGCAGCTACCTAATGACTTGGTACGGAACTAGTTACCCTTGACGTTTAGGTAGGTAGGTAGGTAGGAAATGCAGCGACGTGTATCGCAGTTGTTATTTATGCCTCCTCTCGCTCTCTGCTGAGGCTGGCGCAGCTCTTGGGCCATGCGTCCTCACGCGGCGTCCCAGCGGCGCTCGGACCCGCTCGGACCCGCGCTCAGTTCCGAGTGACCCGGCTCCGTCCCCGTGTCGGCGCGGCGGTGTCGAGAGCCGAGCCCCCGGAGCCAGCCTTGACACGGGCTCAGACGGCCGCTCTCCGACGTCTGAGTCGCCGATCGCCGCTGTCTGCCGGCCAACACCAACACGGCAGCGACGTCACTCGACCGCCGGCCCCACTGCCCCCGGAGGGCAGCACCCAGCCTCACTCAGCCCACTGCCCCCGGAGAGTAGCGCCCAGAACGGCGTCGGTCGGCCCCACTGCCCCCGGAGGGCAGCGCCCAGCCTCACTCAGCCCACTGCCCCCGGAGGGCAGCGCCCAGAACGGCGTCACTCTCGGTTCCACTGCCCCCGGAGGGCAGCGCCCAGAACGGCGTCAATCGGCCCCACTGCCACCGGGTAGCGCCCAGAACGGCGTCAATCGGCCCCACTGCCCCCGGAGGGTAGCGCCCAGCCTCTCAGCCCCGCTGCTCCTGGAGGGCAGCGCCCAGAACGGCGTCACGTAGCCCCACTGCCCTCACTCAGCCCACTGCCCCCGGAGGGCAGCGCCCAGCCTCACTCAGCCCACTGCCCCCGGAGGGCAGCGCCCAGAACGGCGTCGGTCGGCCCCACTGCCCCCGGAGGGCAGCGCCCAGAACGGCGTCACTCAGCCCCACTGCCCCTGAGGGTAGCGCCCAGAACGGCGTCAATCGGCCCCACTGCCACCGGAGGGCAGCGCCCAGCCTCACTCAGCCCCTCTGCCCCCGGAGTGCAGCGCCCAGAACGGCGTCAATCGGCCCCACTGCCCCCGGAGAGCGCCCAGAACGGCGTCAATCGGCCCCACTGCCCCTGGGGAGCGCCCAGAACGGCGTCACTCAGCCCCACTGCCACCGGAGGGTAGCGCCCAGCAGGGCTGCGGAGTCGATGGATTTACGGCGACTCCGACTCCGACTCCGACTCCGGCTTTCAAAAACCAACTCCGACTCCGACTGCGGGCAGAAATGTCGACTCGGATCGACTCCAACTCCCGACTCCGACTCCGCACACCTGGCAGGGCTGCGGAGTCGACCGATTTTCGGTGACTCCGACTCCGACTCCGGCTGGGGTTTCCAATATCGACTCCGACTCCGACTCCGACTCCGGTCACAACTGTCGACTCCGACCGACTCCGACTCCGACTCCGCAGCCCTGGCGCCCAGAACGGCGTCAATCGGCCCGGCTGCTACCGGGGAGCTCCCAGAGCGGTGACCAAGCGGGGGCGCTCACCTGTGAACGCGAAAACCAGTCAGAGGTGACATACTCACCTACGGGCCTCTCCGGCGGTGACCGAGTCAGGTCAGGCGCTCACCTCTAACCACCCCTCTGAGGTGACTGCCGCTCAGAGTTGACACACCTACGGACCTCTTCGGCGGTGGCCGAGCCAGAAGTTCACCTGTGACTACCCCCTTCTCTAGAGGTGACGCTGACCTACGGACCTGTGCAGCGGTGGCCGAGCCAGGAGTTCACCTGTGATCGCCCCTAGAGGTGACACTCTCACCTACGGACCTGGCGCGGGACGCCAACAGGGAGACGCTGCTCAATCATCGCGATCGCCCGCTCCCAATCGATAACAAGGCGCGCCAGGGAGGGTGCGACTCAGAGAGGCAGTGTGAGAGACGGCAAGGGACGCCGCCCCGGTGGTGCGGAGCGTGCCGGCCGAAATGGCCCGAGATGCCGGGAATGTGAATATGACTCAGCTGTGTATGCCCTGCTCAATAACCAGCTCACTAGTCAATGAGCGCGTCCGAAGCTGCCCAGGCTGACAAACAAGGGACAAGCGTAGCTTCCTGTTAGCATGTGAATGAAATGGCGTCGCCCTGGGCTGTACTCGCACTGCTCTCATAACTAACTACTCTTGGTGACTGAATAATCGTCAAATTACGCAGAACAATGGAGCGGCCGCTGCCCAAATATTGTACTGTAATGTGCAGCCATCGTGAATCAAATGCTTGTAGATTTGCAGCTTTTAATTTTCCGTAGAGATACAGAAATGTGCCTGAAGTTAGGAACGTGTAAGTAGTTTTTCTAGCCAAGTAATAACCAGTAAAACGCCTTTTGGGCGAAGAACGAGCGAGCGAGATAGTGAGCCCTGCACGTGCGGAAGGGCGAGAGGGTTCTTCCAACGGGCTTGTGCAAAGCACCCTTCTAACCGGTCGCTAGCGGTGTGCCAAATTTGAACGCGATCGGCCCAGCCGTTCCTGAGATCTGGAAGCGGCATTCTGCACGTGCGCACGTGCAAACGGGGTCCGAACTGACCTTTGCACGGCACCCTACTAACCGGTCCCCAACCGTGTACCAAATTTGAGCGCAATCGGTCCAGCCGTTCTCGAGATCTGGAAGCGCCCCCTGCACGTGCGCACGTGCAGTAGCACCCTAACCGCAACACGTGGGAATGCATTGCCTGGTGGGTGCCTACCTGTAGGTATACCAAGCTTCAGCGAAATCGCCCCAGTAGTTACCGAGTTATTGAAATGGGAACAAATTTGGCACCTCTTCTTTTTTTATTTTGCACGTGCAGTGGGGGTCACTCACATAGATCAAGAGTATCCGACCTTTGGAAGAAGGGATGCAGCTACCCTACAAAAATTACCGCAAGACAATCGCCCAAGCGGCTGCTGAGATATGAGCCTCTCAAAATCACTACTTTTGCAAAACAGCTTGAACACCCTTGACTTTTCACGTGGCACGTGCCACGACGGTCACTGAGATGTATCAAAAGTAGTCAATTACGGGGTAGAAGGGATGGGGCTACCCAGTGAAAAAGACCGCAGGCTAATCGGTCCAGCGGTTGCTGAGATATAAGCCTCTCAAAAGCGTTACAGTCCGGGCCGGGCCGCTCATACTGAGATTTTTCCGTTATATTGAAAAGACTTCGCTGCGCTCGCTCGCTCGTAATTACTGGTCAATCGGCTGTCTTGTTGAGTGGCACTGTGCCAGCATAGTCGTCGCTTCGATGGAGTAGACCGCTGGGCAGACCACTGGGTAGCCGACGGGTCTGTGAGATAGACCGCTGGACAGACCGCTGGACCCGCGAGGCGCGACACATACTGCTAGATACTCGCCGGGCCTACGGAACGGGTCGCTGGCGATCCCTAGCCTGGGAACACTACCAGGAAGGAACCCGGTCCGCCAGGCTGACGCAGTCTGACAAACCTCGCGCTGGAGCTGCGGCGTGGTGGCAGGCTCCGCGCATGGGACCGGGACTATTGTAGGACAGTGAAAGGCACCTCTCCAGGGACTGGGTTCCCTGTGGAGGCGCGGCCTGTGGCAGGCGCTGCTCCCGACGGATAGGGGCTGAATATCAGCTCCCGGGATCAGTCGCCTGTCCGATAATCCACGGGAGAACAGTCACACTCTGGCTGGAGTTCAGGGCAGGCGCTCCGCCGAGGTTCAAGTGGTCATCGACCGGAGGGTGGAGTGGCACTGACCTCTCGCCGGGACCCGGACTCTGGAACACCTCAGCCGGACGGCGGGCTGACCTCTCCCCGGCTCCTGGGACACTGCGGTCGGACGGCGGAGTAGCACTGACCTCTTCCGGCCCATGAGGCACCAGGAGTGCTGCCTCAGACCTCAGTACGCTTACTCCCCGCTACCTGGGGCGCAAGCCTTGCGTAATAAATGATATTGATGGACCTCAAGATCCGCCATCCCGTCACTGTACTGACCCGTGCCTCTTGCCTTGAGTCGAGCCTGTGTCGGTATTGGCGCATGGGCTCATCCGTCTGCAGTTGCGACTTTTCCTTTTTGTGCATCTGCTTGGGTCTACACTAGTGTCTCGAACGTGTCCCGTTTGTCCCAGTTTTGTGTACTGACGTGCGCCTCGTCTATGCTGCTCCGGCGTATTCTGCCGTCTGGCTCTGTACCGTCATATGCCCCGTCTTTCCTGCGCTGACTCTGCCCCGTTTCCCCGCCGTCAGAGTCGCAGCACACTGACTCAGTCCCGTAGAGTCGCAGCACACTGACTCCCCCGTTCCCCCGCCGTCAGAGTCGCAGCCCACTGACTCAGCCCCGTTCCCCGGCCGTCAGAGTCACAGCACACTGACTCAGCCCCGTAGAGTCGCAGCACACTGACTCCCCCGTTCCCCCGCCGTCAGAGTCGCAGCCCACTGACTCAGCCCCGTTCCCCGGCCGTCAGAGTCACAGCACACTGACTCAGCCCCGTAGAGTCGCAGCACACTGACTCCCCCGTTCCCCCGCCGTCAGAGTCGTAGCCCACTGACTCAGCCCCGTTCCCCGGCCGTCAGAGTCACAGCACACTGACTCAGCCCCGTAGAGTCGCAGCACACTGACTCCCCCGTTCCCCGGCCGTCAAAGTCACCACACTGACTCTGTCCCGTTCCCTGGCCATCAAAGTCGCAGTACACTGACTCTCTCCCGTTCCCCGGCCGTCAGAGTCGCGGCACACTGACTGTCCCCCGTTCCCCGGCCGTCAGAGTCGCAGCAGTCGGCGGCGCCTATGGAGCTGGTCAGCCAGCAGCGAGTGTACCGCTCTCTGGTGCTACAGGACATCATCGACTCGGAGCGCGCCCACATCAGCGAGCTGCAGACGCTCTGCAAAAACTTCCTCCAGCCGCTCAGCCGATCAGACGTGTGAGTAACGCAACAGTGATGAGCATACACCCAGCCTCTCAGACTTGTGTGTAACGGAACTGAGTGAACATACACCTAGCCGATCAGACTTGTGAGCAACTGAACTGAGTGGACATACACCCAACATCTCAGCCGATCAGGCATGTGAGTAGCTGAACAGTGAACATGCACCCAGCCTCTCAGACTTCTGAGTAACTGGGCAGGGATTCAGACGCTCCCATGGTTGATAAGCTGAACTGAGTGAACAGTGAACACTGACTGAACATTGAACATGCATTCAGTAACTGAGACGTATGATAAGCTGAGCACGCATTCAGCGGCTCCCATATTTGATAACCGGAACCTGTATTTAAACCCTCTGATGTATGAGTTGCCGAACAATGGAACATGTATTGGGCCGATTCGATAGGTGATGCAGTGGCTGACCATTTTGTCAGTGGCTCAGCCACCTTCGACGTACTGAGAGTTAAGTCCCCCTATGCCATTCTGTGAGTTATAGCTGTGCGTTACTGGCTGTTGAGCAGTGAACATGCGTTCAGCGTCTTGTGAGGCTGGTCGGCCGCTGTGCGTGGCCGAAGTCTCCACTGTCATTGCAGGTCCTCTGATTGAATTGCGGAGCGTCGCGTGTCATCGCTACTCGCTCGATGTGCGTGGCCAAAGGACGGCACTCGATTAGACAAGACAGTTAACGAAAGGGGACTGCTGGTGCCTGCAACTCGGTCGGCTGCTCGCCATATTGTGCCAGCGGGACATAAAACTCCGTCCTGACCGCATGAAAGGACTTGACTTCATGCTATCCAAGAGTTTCGCATCGTCTGGACTGTTAAGTGGGGGTCCATTTCTGTCAAATGTTAGCCTGGGACTCCACTCCATTAATTTTTCTAACCAGCTCCATGTCTGGGATGGCTCTATGGGCGGAGATGACCGTGTCCAATATGAGCGCCGCCGCCGCGGTCGCCTCTGCTCAATGTGCCGTCGGGGACGGACACGGACCGTTCGGCGTCCGCGTTATGACTATTGATTCCGTCTGACGGCCGTCCCGTCAGCTGGGCGTCGCGGAGCCACTCACGGACTCCTGCCGCCGCCGGGCGCCGTGGCCCGTCCCGAGCGCCGGGGGGCCACTCACGGACTCCTGCTGCCGCCGGTCAGGTCAGCCCGACACTCGGTCACGGCCGGCGCCGCGGCCACGCTCGATTGACTGCCACGGTTGGGTCGGTGAGATACTGTCCGTAGCTCCAATAGCCGACCTCCGGAGCCGGCGCGGCCGGGGTCTGACGGTGGGCCCGTCCGCTCACATCCGCTCAGTGATCTGCCGCGGTCTGATTGGTCCGGTAGTGTAATTAGTGGCGATCCAGGATTGGTGGTGTATTGTTCTGGTGCTATAGTTAGGTTGGGTGGTAATACAGGCGCCGGAGGCCTGCCGTCCATAAGATGTGTCTTATCTGGGTTCTTGGTCGGTCAAACAACACAACACTTCTGGAGTACCGGTCACGTATGAAGAGAGCACTCGGGATAGCGGATTCGGCATAGATGATTCTGCATTCTTTATTGCACGTGATTTCAAAAGCTGCCGTTTATTTTAATTGATCCGATGATTTAATAATCCCACTGACTGCTCGGCCCGTCACAGACCCGTTCACTCCTGCCCAGCCAGTCTGGCCAAAGTGCCAGCCAGCCCCGCTGAAGTGCCGGCTCTCCCGCTGTGACCTTTCAGCGGCCTGCCGGCCGGCCCGGGCCGAGTCGCCGGCCAGCCGCCCGGGCACAGCGGCCGGCTCAGCCGCCGCGGCGCGATTGCCGTAATGTCATTATTTGCCCGGCCGGGACGGCTGGAAACGGTCCGTGTCCCGCGGGAGTCGGCTGGAGTGGAGACTGGGGGCGGTCAGCCGGGGCCGGAGAGAGGTACTCCAGGGAGGGACTTCTCTCGGACCTCTCGCCGCAGAGGCTCGAGAGAGGTCCGTTTACCGAGAGATGTCCGTATGCCGAGGACCTTGTGCCGTTTCATTTCCCAGGGAGGGACGGGGCGGACTGGTTCGCCGGGGGTCGAGAGGGAGGTCCTTGCGCCGCTCCTCTTTAGAGAGGACACGACGGGACCTGTAAGTCGGCCTTTGAGAGAGGTGGAGCGGTGCCAGTCATCAAAACTTGGACGGGGGGGGGGGGGGGCAAACTCTCGCCCAGCGCCCTGTCCTGCCGCCCTGCGACCCTAGGGTCAACATCGTCCGCAGATTGCGGCGACGGCGCATATATTTTATACCTATATGGCCGCTGGATACAGACTTGCCGTGTTGGCCGTGGACTGGGACAACCAATATCCGGGTGCATATTGCATATATTGTAGCTCCGCCCTTCATAACGCAAGGTCCTCTTTTGAGCTACGATACTTGTAAGTGCCTGCCACGTACCCAGGTGAAATTTAGCTCGGCAGTTCTGGCTTCTCGTTAAAAGTTGCCGGTGTATTTTACGGCAAAACTTTGCTTCTGCATTTTCTGAGTTTCCATACAAGGTTCGCCACACTTCGTCTTGTCAAAATACGACTGAAGTTACGCTGGACAGCAAGTTCCTGGCGGCCCTCCGGCAAGTGCTTCATGTGCAACGCTCCAGTCCTAGTTGCCAAGTCACAGGGCTCACCTCAACCTGGGCAAACTTTGTCGCAGTTGCTGTTCAATAAATCTGCTTTGCAACCTTACGACGTACGACGTAGTCAGTAGACGAGATGAAGCCTTGCAAATTTATGAAAATTTGTCAACCGAAGCTAGTTACCTATTACTTGTCATTTAACTTACCGGTTCCGTTTCTCCGAACCTCATGAGCTCGACTGCCAAGCGCACAACTAACTGACTATTGCGCCCTGTCCGGTACCGTCCAATCCAGGAAACTTACTGGTTATGTTTCGTGCGATAATCCTGATAGCTGTAACCCCGGCAGACAGTCTTCGGCTGAGGACCGCCAGCTGACCGGTATCCTGGAGGAGGTTGTGACCCATGTGTGGCGTACCCTGACCCCTGTGTGGAGTACCCTGACCCCCGTGTGGAGTACTCTGACCCCCGTTATACCCCTGCAGTCTGTCGGCGGCCGAGTACCGCCAGCTGACCGGTAACCTGGACGAGGCTCCGACCCCTGTGTGGAGTACCCTGACCCATGTGTGCTGTACTCTGACCCCTGTGTGGAGTACCCTGACTCCTGTGTTGTACCGTTCCCCTGCAGTCTGTCGGCGGCCGAGTACCGCCAGCTGACCGGTAACCAGGGCGAGGCTCCGAGCCCTGTGTGGAGTACTCTGACCCCTGTGTGGAGTACCCTGACCCCTGTGTGGAGTATCCTGACCCATGTGTTTACCCCGGCAGGCTGTCGGCGGCCGAGTACCGCCAGCTGACCGGTAACCTGGACGAGGTGCTCGGCGAGCACGGCCGACTGCTGGCCGAGCTCGAGCTGCAGGCGGCCGTTCAGCAGCGTCCGCAGCGCGCCGGACACGTGTTCCTCAGCCGCGCGGCCGACCTGAAGCGCGTGCACACCCAGTACTGCGCCGGCCACCCGCGCGCCGTCTGTGTGCTCGACAAACACAAGTGAGACGTGGGCAGGGGAGGGAGGCTGACTGATAGTTAGGTGACTGATGATATCAGTTACCGTAATTAGAGCAAACAGGCTGCCACTGCTAATCTTGTCATTCGAGCCATTTTTTGACTGAGTCGTGGTATGTTAATAGATAGGAAACATGCAGTAAAATATGTAGTCTAGCTTGTATAGCTGATCTTGATGAGTCCATTTATCTAGCCATTTGACCCGCTGATCCCGCCCACTGCGACCGCCTGCTGACCCTCCTCACCTTCTGTGCCGCCGCAGGGATGCACTGAACGCGTTCATGGAGTCGCAGGGCGCCCACACGCCCGGTATCATGGTGCTCACCACCGGTCTGAGCAAGGTGTTCCGGCGGCTCGACAAGTTCCCATGTGAGTGGCCGGCGAGAGGCTCCGTCCGCCCCGGGAGGGATTTGCCCCGGAGCCGCGGCAAATCTCAGTAGCTCCCTGCTTGACAGCCTGTAAAACATGGCTGGGATGTTTCGCCGTGTTTACGACCCCTGAAAAGCCATGGGATGATAGGATGCCTTGTAGTGTTACAAGTTTTGATGCGGTGCGAATGAATAAATGTTTTACAGGTTTAAAACAATTTGGGTGTAGTGCGAATGCCTAGATGTGGTTAGTAACCCTAGCATAACTTACTCAGTGTTCTCAGTTGTTTTCTAGTGTCTCAGGTAGCTAGCTGCGTTCCGGTTACGTTTCCCTGCCTCCCATTGTGTGCGGTAGCTTGCTGTCGCCACTGTGTCTATCCACGACTTCTGACAGCCGCTGGTTCCCACCGGTCGACCTGCTCCCACTGCTGTGTTGTCCGACTGTGCCCCATCATCCCTCCCTCCTCTCACACCCAGCCCACCCCACTCCCCAGTCAGCGCTGTGTTGTCCAACTGTGCCCCCTCCCTCCCTACCCTCCCGCCCCAGCCCGCCCGGGTCCTCAGCCAGTGCTGTGTTATCCAACTGCCCCCTCTCCCTCCCTATCCTCCCACCCAGCCCACCCCGGTCCTCAGCTAGTGCTATGTTGTCCAGCTGCCCCCTCCCCCTCCCGCCCCAGCCAATGCAGTGTTGTCCAGCCGTACTCCCACTCCTGCCCCATCCCGCCCAGCTCCCCAGCCAGCACTGTGTGTTGTCCACTGTCCAGCCGCTCCCCCTCCCCGCACCACCGTCCCTCTGTTGGCTCTGCGCCGCCGAGCCGAGCCGAGCCGAGTGGGCGGCCGGCGGCGGCCGGCTGCCTACCTCAGCGGCGTTTTTGTCTCGGCCCGTCTGCCAAGGCGAGCTGCCAACGCGAGAAAGTGTAAAATGCGCCACTGATGATCAATGCAGCGAAGTAGTGGTACAGATTGATACAGGGAGAGATTCTTGTTCGATAAGTGAAATAGATTGAGATGAAAGCAATCGTACGCCGTTGAAGTTCCGATGATCAATATGTATGATTTGTGAAGGTGATAAGGGATGAGGATTAGTGCTGACTGCTGATTTTGTTTGATCGGCTGGAATCGCTACTCATTGAGCCCGCCAGCGAGCGCCGTGTCATCCATTTCACTGCACTTAAACATCATGAAGGTGGCAATTTTTTAATGCAACGCGATCAGCGTATATCATGCAACAGTATGGCATCATTGCTCTTTCTCCGAGACGCGTATTTACTTCCATGCTCGTCGTTGCAGGCATGCTTCAGGAGTACGAACGTCACTTGGAGGAGGGCCATCCGGACCGGGGCGACACGCAGCGCTCCATCCACGTCTACAACGAGATCACGGTACGTTATACACGTTTACAGCGAGATCACGGTACGTTATACACTCCTACGGCGAGATCACGATAGGTGCTGGTCGGACAGACTGTCTGAGCATTACGGAGTAGTAACTGGTCTTGACCTGGCTATGACCTGACCCAATCGCCTGGCGTGATTCGTATTGCCCGTATCAAAATTAGCATGCAGCATCCTTAAAATACAGAACCGGTACGACGCAGCTTTAAACGAACAGCCTCCGTCGGAATCAAGCGACGCATCCGATGCCCACAGTGTGTAACGCTGTCAGCCGAGCGCCGCCCCATGTCGCCGCTGTGTGGCTGCGACCATCCAGATAACTGGCCGCCAATGGGGCGTGAGATGACGGATGGCGCTGTGGACACGTCACTGCGCTGATGGGAGCCGCGGCGCCGGGCGCGGCGGCGGGCAGGACGGCCGGGGCTGCTGCGCTGTGATACCCGGGGCACATAGTGTCAAACGGGGCGGCAATTATGTCCGGAATGTACGCTCCGTGTGAGGTATGTCCGGAATGTCAGGAGCGGCGTCCGGGCTGACTGCCCGGAGTTGCCCGGAGTTTGGTCTGACGGCGACAGGCAGTCAGGGCTGTCACGGACAGCTGTAAGGGGCGTGATGTCACAGGACCACTTTCCGACAGTCATACACCTAGAGTGACTGTTCGGCGTTGATGACGTCAAGGACAGCGTATATGACGTCGCCCGTCGGAGATGACTGTCCAGCGAGATTGACGTCTCATCCGACTGTCCAGCGTTGATGACGTCAGAGAATACTCCCTACCTAAGTTAATGACGTCAAAGCCGACGTCTCCGGACGGCTTGTGTTGGTGGATCAGACGCGTCCGAGCTATCTAAGGAACGGGCTCCGGGAATGGATGGCGTCTATATTGAGCTCAGCTGATGTGGGATCAGCGGGGTTGAATGGGTATGGGTATGGGTATGAATGTTTTTGTACATTCGCTGATAAAATATTACCAGTATAACGCCTTTTGGGGCGACTAACGGAGCGAGCGAGAGGGTGGGCCTTGCACGTGCGAAATTGCGAGGGGGTACCTCCAACTGACTTGTGCACGGCACCCTGCTAACTGGTCTCTAGCGATGTGCCAAATTTGGGCACAATCGGCCCAGCCGTTCTCGAGATCTGGAAGCGGCACCCTGCACGTGCGCACGTGCAAAATGGGTCCCAACTGACTTGTGCACGACACCCTACTAACCGGTCCCTAACCGTGTACCAAATTTGAGCGCAATCGGTCAAGCCGTTCCCGAGATCTGGAAACGACCCCTGCACGTGCGCACGTGCAGCAGCACCCCAACTCTGGCACATGTATATGCAGTGCCTAGTGGGTGCCTACCTACATGCCAACTTTCAGCGCAATCGGCCAAGTAGTTACCGAGATATTGCAACAATAACAAAACTGACACCTCTTCGTTTTGCACGTGGCACGTGCATAAGGGGTCACCCACATGCATCGGGAATAGTCCAATACTTGGTAGAAGGAATGAAGCTACCCTACAAAAATTACCGCGTGTAAATCGGTCAAGTGGTTGCTGAGATATAAGCCTCGCAAAAGCGTGACCACGGCCGGCCGGCCGGCCGGCCGGCCGCTCATACTCAGAAATTTTCGTTAATCTAAGGAAAGACTACGCTCGCTTCGCTCGCTCCGTAATCATAGATATTGTTAGATGTGATAGATATTTTACTATCTTTGTTACATCCGGTTGTTACGGAGCGAGCGAAGCGAGCGTAGTCTTTCCTTAGATTAACGGAAATTTCTGAGTATGAGCGGCCGGCCGGCCGGCCGGCCGGCCGGCCGTGGTCACGCTTTTGCGAGGCTTATATCTCAGCAACCACTTGACCGATTTACATGCGGTAATTTTTGTAGGGTAGCTTCATTCCTTCTACCAAGTATTGCACTATTCCCGATGCATGTGGGTGACCCTTTATGCACGTGCCACGTGCAAAACGAAGAGGTGTCACTTTTGTAATTGTTGCAATATCTCGGTAACTACTGGGCCGATTGCGCTGAGAGTTGGCATGTAGGTAGGCACCCACTAGGCAATGCATATCCATGTGCCAGAGTTGGGGTGCTGCTGCACGTGCGCACGTGCAGGGGTCGTTTCCAGATCTCGAGAACGGCTGGACCGATTGCGCTCAAATTTGGTACACGGTTACGGAGCAGTTAGTAGGGTGCCGTGCACAAGTCAGTTGGGACCCATTTTGCACGTGCGCACGTGCAGGGTGCCGCTTCCAGATCTCGAGAATGGCTGGGCCGATTGTGCTCAAATTTGGCACATCGCTAGAGACCGGTTAGTAAGGTGCCGTGCACAAGTCAGTTGGAGGTACCCCCTCGCAATTTCGCACGTGCAAGGCCCACCCTCTCGCTCGCTCCGTTAGTCGCCACAAAAGGCGTTATACTGGTGTTCAATAATTTGTGTTTGGATTTTATTTAAGTAGGTACCGACAGGAATATTATTGTCCACAGTCAAGACGAACATTTTTTGCATATTCAATCGCAAATATCGGTGTTACCGACTACCGTTTAACTGCACATAATTTGCGACTGTCTTCGCTGCGTGTGAAACTCGACACCGCTTCTGAAATGCCTCAAACCACATCATGCAATGGTAGTTCTGATTCCTCGATGTAAAGCTACTGAGGTGGTCGTCTTGTTTTGTGTTCCTTTGTCCGTAAAAGCGCATAGATGATAAATCGACCGTTACCTTTTGAATTATGTTGCCAGTTGCCCTGACATCCGGTATGAATTATAGCTGGACGTTTGTTGATTTGGATTTACTTTGTCTGTTGCTGTCGGTGTTGTGTAGAGATAGCGTTGTGTCATCAGCAATGTGACGTCTCCGTGTTTGTGTATTTCAGACGAGCTGTGCCACGATCCGTCGCCAGAAGGAGACGGAGCTGGAGATTCTCTCCGGAAACATCCGCCGCTGGGAGGGCGAACAAATGGCCAACATGGGTACGTACCGGCTCACCACCCTATCTCCGAGATATAGACTGGCTCTTGGAGAAATCCCAATTAGCTTAGGTCCCGATAGGGTATCAATGGTATCCATAAACCAACCAGCCAACTAGTGCTAACTCGGCACGGAAGACAGACACCACACATCAGCATTGAATTCAACATAACGAAATTACAAAAGGTCAAAAGGTCTCCGGTCCCGAAAGGTCACGGGTCGCGCCAGACTGCGTCCGTCGGGCAGCCGGTTCATTTCGCAGCCTTCCCGTGAATTTGCCGTGATGGATGCTATCTGCCGCGGTGAGGGACTCATTGTGAGCCCGGCTGGAATATCAAAGGCCGAGCAGCCCGTGAACTATGGCCCGGCGTCAGCCTTTGAGCGTGTTTCATCTGTGCACGCGCCGGCCGCCTTGTTGAACAGCCGGGTATCCTGAACCAGCGGCAGTGGAATGGCGACCTTTGTCGGGAAAAGTTGCCGCGCGGAACCCTCGGTTACAACAGTCTGAGCCCAGTGCGGCCCAGTGCGTTCGCAGCTGCTCGCCAGGCCGGGACGACATTTGACATTTACACCGCGGATGTATAACCAGCGTCCGCGTCCGGGGTTGGTCAACACACTTCACTCAGCATATTGGGCAGTGTGCGCCAGAGCAATCTGATTAGGGCTGACGGAGCGCGGGAGCGATCAAAGCTGACCGAACCGAGGGAGGAGTAGCTGACGGAACGCAGTAATTATTGACTGACGAACGGGGGACGGTATGACCCACTGGGACACGAATCACTGCGTTCCCGAGCAAGCAAAAGCAGTTTCCATCACACCGGCAAGCTTTGCATTGCATTCTTCAGTCAGTCGATCGTGTTTCGGTCGTTTCCGTACCTTTCCTACTTATCGATTATTGAGCATCCCGTGACCAGCGAGGTTCATTTTTACCTCCTTCGATTTCATTCGGTCTTCTGTATGAGTGATTTATTTCCTACCTCTCCCCGTTTCCGGACGGTAGCTCTGCGGTGTGTGATATGGGCCGTTTGGGCAGTTTACCGTGGCCATTTCTGCTCTCCGCCCGCCTCCGTCCGCCTTATTTACGCGTGCGTGAGACCCGGAAACGACTCCACCGAACTCCACCGACTGTTCGGGGGGACGGGGCGCGAGCAAACTTCCTCCCCTCCCCTCCCTCCCCTCCCCGGGCGGACGGGAGCCGGTGTCTGCCTTATCGACCCCGCCCCTCCGCTCGCCGCTCCCTCCCTCTCCCTCTGCCTCCTCCGCTCTACCCTCGGCCGGGGTCCGATTTCGATGGGGCGTCGCGCGCCGGTCGGTGACTCGTGACGATGACAGCCGACGGTGATCCTTCGTCGCGGGTTGTCGAGCCGGGTAATGGGGACGATCAGCGACGGACATTTAGACTGACCTCGGACCTGACACTGACACGGAACTGGGTCCTGGACCTTAGGTCGAGTACTTAGCCAGTCTCAGGTGGCCCCTTTTCCAATTCTAATAGTTGTGAAAAGATTCCAGCTGGCATTCTGCCTTGACACTAGCATTTTGTCATAATAGAACGACACAAGGTCACTAACTCATCCTCGCCGCGTTCCTAATTGGTTTAGAGAGTTGAGCGATAAAGCCGACATTTCATCAGAAAATCGGTGATAATCGAATATAATTGTGCTTGGGTCAATTGGTATTTGGTAACATTGTGAGTTCGAGCACACGTTTTCGTCCTGATTGGAAAGGCTTAGCCAAGACACATGGACGTGACATTGACGTGATTGACGTGATTGACATTGACGTGAGACGTGACGTTGACACGACTTCCGTCTAGTGCATTATGCACTCCGGAGTAGGGTGGTCCACATCTACAGGGTAAAAAATAAAGTTCGTCAGATTCATCGGGCCGGGTCGGAATTCTTGTCGATACTATAGCACAAGCTTCTGTGCAAAATTTCATTAAGATCGGATGCTTTTTTTCCCGTCCCGCAAAGCGGTCAAAGTTTCCATTATACGTACCAGTCCAGTATATGTATACGTACCAGTATAGGGCGAATATTCGTCTTTCAACATTGCCCAGTCGTGCCAGCGGCTATCTACCAATGAGCTTGCCTGCTAATCGCACCAGCCCTCGCACCAGACGCTGGTGTGGAGCCGTTACAGACGGGTGTGGGGCCTTTAGAGCTGCTGACGCGAACTCTCTACAAGCCGGCAGGGGGTCTCAGTGACCGGCAAGGGGTCCGTAGGCCGGCAGAAGAAGTCCTGTGGGGTCCTTAGAGACCGGCATGGTACTGTCAGGCGCCGGTGGGGCCCTCAAAAGTCACCAGTGGGTGACCTTTAGATGCGCAGGTGTTGGTTGGGTCCTCAGAGCCGCCAATATAGGACTTTAATAGGCACTGGTGTAGGCACTCAGAGTTGGGGGTGTGAAACCCTCAGAGACACCGGTGTGGGCCCTCATAGGCGCCGACGAGGGCCCCACAGTTGCCGTTATGGGGCCCTCAGAAAAATAAGGGTGGGACCATCACAGGCGGTAAATGCCCCTAGAACTGGCCCCTCATAGGCCGGTAAGACCTCTCAGAGGCCAGTAACGGGCCTTTGGAGACCACCGAGGTGCCCTTAAAAGCCGCAAGATGCCCTCAGAAGCCGGCGTGGGGCCCTTATGGAGATCTTTAGTGTGGATATTTAGGGCCCATGAGGTGCTCTAACGAGCCCCATGGGCCCTTCTGAGTAGAAATATGGCCATCGTTAACCCTCAGCGGTCAAATGGCGCCGCAGGGCCCCTCGGACCCTTTTATCTCGATGGGGGGGGGGGGGGGGGTACGTGTCCCGTTAGACCCCTAGCTACGTCATTGTTTCATATGCATCATGTAAGGCATTTTAGGCTCGCCCCCCCCAACTTGAAAATCGTTCCCGGGCCCCTGCCGGAACCGGTTGCCTTATGTACAACGTGGTCGTTGGATTGCAAAGGTGATGAACACTCTCAAGATCATTCTCTTCTGCCAGCTCGCGCTCACCGAGCACGAGAAGAGGACGATGGTCCGGTTCACCACCTTAATCGTCACAAGGTAGGTAGCATCCTGACTGTCTGCCCATTGATCGACCTCAGCATGGGGAACTGACATCGCCCTCCCCAAAGGCCCTCGCCGCTTACCACACGGATACCGGAAGGTTACCGGGAAAGGTGATAGGCAAGGTCTCAAGGCCATCGGTCTCCTTCTTCGGCGTCGGGACGGCGGTCGAGGAAAAGCAGGCGATCGCCACCTCCATGCAGCAGCGGCTTAGATAGAAGAACCCTCCCGCGTCGACGTCGCCCTCGACGCAGTGGAGCGGCGCTCGCTGGCGTCCTTTGCATATGTTGGTCTCGGTACCGCCCTCGGGGCCAGTCACGATTTCCTCAAAGTGGACCCGGCCGAGGGGTCGTACAATGACGACTTGACCTCTGCTCGTCGGCGACCGACACATATACGGTTGGTAAACGACTTTGCAGGAGCCGGGTGCTGCACTGTTGCCCCCATTAGCGGCAAATTTTTAGCGCCATCGTGCACGGCAAGGAACAGATGACAGCACTTCCTTCAGGTAGAGGAGCGTAACTTCACTGGGCGTTGCATCCGGGCGGGAGATTGGTTTAGGATGGCTCGCACGGTGGACTTCGTCTTTTAATCTGTACCGATATGCTATTTTCACCAATGCCTATTCCACTCTGATGTGTTTCTCTCCTTTGCTGTTCTTTTTTAGTGACTGCCAGTGCGTATTGAGTAAAAAAATGTGAACTGAGTGGGAGAATCCGTATTATCGCCCATCCCCTTATTGTTAATATAGGAAAACTTTGACCGCTTTGCGGGACGGGATAACTTTATCCGATCAGAATGAAATTTTGCACACAACCTTGTGTCATGGTATCGACAAGAATTCCGACCCGGCCCGACGGATCGTAGAATTTTTTTTTTTCAAAATGGACCACCCTACTCCGGAGTCCAGACCAAACAGCGATAAACAAATCCGTGACCTCTGTCATTTATCCCCGTCCCCAGGACCTCTCGCTGCCTCCCGCTCCCATCCCCAATCGGGCTGCTGCCGGTCCCCAACCGGTGGGCGGTCCGCGGTAGCCCATCATCGCCAGAGCCAGACGAGAGTGCTGGGGAAAGGTCACAGCCCGGGGATGACACTCGGCTGGAGGGCGGCCGCAGCGTCCCGGGTCAGACGGGGGCGTGCTGGTTCGTGCTCCTGGGTCGGACAGGCCGGGGGCGTCGCTCTAGGCGCAGCGTCCTGGGTCAGGCGGGCCGAGCGGTGCGCTCTGGTCGGGACAGGCCGGGCGCTCGGCCAAACGGAGCGGCCGACGGGGACGTCCCACCACGTCTCTGTTTGTATTCGGAATATCAGCTGGCTGTGGTCCCGGAACTTTATTAGGTCTTCATAAATTATTTACTTATTTGTACCAGCCATGCATGGCCCAGTCGTGTGGTCCCTGTCTCTGAATTAAATCATAGTCTTTCATTAAGACGTCTAGGTGATTTATCTCCGAACCCAAAGCGGCGTCTTCTCGAAAACACCCACGCGGCTTCCGAGTGACGACGGAGTTTGGATCGACCTGCCTCCTGGAAATAGCTTCCTATGTAGCCCATAAGGGCAGATCCGCGGAATCCCTCAATCCGAAGCGCGCTCGACCGCGCCAATCACCCGGCCGCCTTTGGACGGACCCGACCGGCGTCTTACAGAGCGTGATCTCGTCTCGTCCGCTGTGATATGACGGTCTGAGCCGCCGCCGGTCCGGCCCGGACGGAATGGGACGACAGAAAGGACCGCTGTGCTTCCTTCACGGGAGCCAGAGGCCGCACAGGGCTGATGAGATATCTGTGCTCGGAATAGTATCGAAGCGGGCCGGTGTGGTGTGTCGAGTTGACCAGCTGGCAGACGTCTGACCTACAGACACGTGCCGCTATAGCAGATACTCGAACTGCGCGCGGGCGTGACGCAGCTCGGTGACCGTGTCCTAACTGGTGGTCGCTCCGAGCTCCTCTCCTCAGCCACTCAGAGTTTTGGCTTTGTTTTTGACACGTGCCGGCGAACAAAAGAGACGGGCGCGCCGGCCGGGTGACGGATTGCCCCCACCGTGACCGACACTGGCTGGGAGCTCTGTTCTCCGCTCGGCCTGTCACCGTAGTCTGTCTCCAATGAGCTGTTGCGGCTGCCTGTTTTCTTCACAGTCCGTCTCGGCAGCCGGTCTTTACGGACTGTCCGGGCAGTCTGTCTTGCTGGCTAGGCTCTACTCGGCCTGTCTCGGCGTTAGCCCGTCCGTGTCGCGGACTGTGGTTATCCTGTCCCTCTCACCGCCGCCGCCGCCGCCGTCAGCCGTCAGCCGTCCCAGCTGTGACCGACAGGCGCCGGCCGGGCGGCGGCCGTCACCCCCGGCCGACGGCGGCGCTGGCACGGGCGCCACTCTGCGCCCGGGTGCGGTGAAGGTCGAGCCGTGTCTGCGGGAACCGGTGACGGAGCCAGGAACATGTCCGTCGGCCGGAAACGGTGGCTCCGGGCGGAACTGCCGCACCGCCGCGGCTGGCACCGGTCGGCGGCGGGCACAGACGGCCGCCCCGGGCTATCCGGTCAGCCCCCGGCCGGTCCCCTCACCTGAGGGTGGCTCCGTGTCACCGCCCGGGGAGGCGTCACAGCCCGAAATTACCCGAGATCTCGCCCCGGATCCCTGGCGGGCATCTCTCCGAATCCGATTATCCCATTAGTGCTCTGCGGCGTCCTATATGGAGAACAGATGGACCGGCGCTCTGAATGGACGTATTGGCCGGCGCCGGGTCCGCGCTGCTTGGTATTGACCTCAGCGGAGGGATTTCCGGAACGGCGATCGCTGATGGCATAACTGATGGCGTCTACGAACAGCATGATATCTCGGCATGAACGCTCAAAGCCATGCGTTATTCAGTGCTAATCTCCTTAGGGGAATGGCACTGAGCTTGCATGTTGTGATCCCCCGATCTACGCTAATGCTCAGGAAGGTGCCCAATCCGCTGACGTCCTGACGAGCACGGACCGAGCACGAACGGCGACGTTGCATTTATTTATTTATTTACGTTTTTTTTTTGTCGACTGGCTGATCAACGGGTGCCGGCCGCCGTGTGTGGCCGCGGCCTGCGTCTTCTGCCGAGGTGCCGCCGTCTGACCACGGGCTGAGACTCTCCCGTCCCGCTGTACGGCTGGTAACGAGGGCCTCGTCACCGCCGGTCGGTCCGACTACTGCTAACCCGGCGCTGCCGGGGAGAATGGGTTGGGCTGGGCGGTATCGTCATTAGGCTCGCCAGGGAAGCCAACGCTGGCTCTGGTCCTCTGTCTTCTACTTATCCGTCGTTAGTCCGCTAGGCTGTCGCGAAGTAACTCTGGAACGCTGGTGATTCACTCTGTGATCTAAGACCCAGACAGTGAAAGAGTGTCACTGTGAATCGGACCGACATAACCCCTTCCCCTCCCCCACATTTAACCGTCCCCGCCTGTCTGACCCCCTATACCTTCCCACAGGTGAGATCATCCACATGGGCTCGGTGGCGGTGGGTAAGGAGCACAGCGACCGCTACTTCGTGCTGTTCCGAACCACTCTGGTGATGCTGAGCGTCTCCCCGCGAATGTCGGCATTCATATACGAGGTCAGTCGGCGGCGGGTGGCGGTGACACTGGCCGGGTCAGTGACGCTGACATGAGGGGCAGCGGGTTTGTGAGCGGTGGCCGGCTGAACTGAGGGGTAGATTGGTGAGGGAAAATGCTGGTATCAACATATGGCTAGCAGCGTTGCGTGGCTTCATTATTTGAAAATTGAGGCTCTCAGAAGTCCTGTGGATTTAAGTTTACAGGTAACGTTATCGATTTGAAGCAACCGTTTTCCGCTGTTTTGCCTTTTCAGGGAGGGGGGGGGGGGAGGAGGATATCATAAAAGCTAAGTAGTGATAAGCTGATGTTTTCAAATAGATATGTTGTTTATCGTGCTACCGGGCTGTTCCTATCTCTATTCAGTCGGCTCCTCTGGCGGACGCCGGCTCTACCCGGCCGGAGTGCGCCTTAGCCTCGTATCCCACACACACAGCTGACAGTCTGCTGTGACAGTCTCTGCTGCCCACTGTGCCCCACACAGCGGGCAGTGGTCTCGTTGTCCCCCTAACAGCCGGGTCGCGCCGCCGGCTCCGGTCGCGTTACATCATTACGGTCACACAGTCCCGCCCCGGCAGGGTTTCTCTGAAGGCACCTCCGTCCCTGTGGCTGGTGGGTGACACCTTCGGCCGGTCGCCGGGGGCTGCCCTGTCCAGTGTCCAGTCGGCCGGCTATGTTTCATTGTTTCCCCTCCCAGCTCTCCAGTTCCCGGTGTTGTTCGTCCCCAGTCCCACCCGTCCGCAGCGACCATAATACTGGAACCTGTGTAATCAAACGGACGCACCGGGCTCTATTGATCTGTGTGGCTGACGGGTGAGCCGGGAATGAACCCGGGGACAGCGGGCTGCGTGGCCGGCGCGACCGGCGCGGCTCCCGGGGCTGGGCTATTACCCTGGGCTGGGTGACGTCACTATCTGACCGGGCTGCTGGCCTCCCGACCGGCGCGGCGCCCTGGGCTGGGTGACGAGTGCTGACCGGGCTGCGTGGACGTTGGGCTGGTGAACGGGCTGGTGGGCTGAGTGACATCTGTCATCACTGTCTGACCGGGCTGGTGGGCCGGGTGGCGTCACAATCTGACCGGGCTGGTGGGCTCCCGACCCGCGCGTCGCTGTGCGCTGGGCTATTACCCTGGGCTGAGTGACGAGTGCTGACGGGGTCGGTTGGCTCCTCCGCAGGGAAAGCTGCCACTCTCCGGGATCAGCGTCACCAAACTGGAGGACTCGTCTGATCACAAGAACGCCTTCGAGATCGCAGGTAGGCTTGGGTGAAAATAAAGTCATGAAGCTATTTTAAAGTTACGTAGTTGGTTTCTTAGTCTAGCCAGTAGACTAGAAGACATTCTGAAAAAAATATCTGAAAAAAAAATTAAAATATATGGGGTCATTATTATGAAATGAGATGCCTTTGCTGCGATCAAAAGTTTTGAGTAGGACTAGGGCCCAGTCAGGTGGTTGATTACACAGGGAGCACTCCAAGTGATGATTGACTGGCGTGAGAATCAAATAAGCTCAGACAAATCAAATCAGCTTTATGATGCTGAGTGGAATAGAAATCTCTTTACCGCCTGACCCTGCCAGTGTGATAAGGTTCCAAGGACACCGGGGTGGCTGTTTCCCGGCTGCTTTGTTTTATTCAGCTTCCTCCCCGCGCCGTGTGGTTAGACGTACCCTCGTATCATGCATCACTAGGCTGAGCGCCTTTGGCGTTTTACGTAGTACTTTTTTAGGTTCTGTGGTGGTTTGATGCCACTTCTTCTGTGCATCGTGTGTTATACGTTTGTATTATACGTTTGTATGTGGTAATGTTTTCTATTGTGTTCGCTGCTGCTGATCGGCCCGAGTCACTGCCCGTAATCACCCGCCTCGATAGCGCTTTGGTCGATCACAGGCTGGTGGCACGGAATATATAGTGTACGACATAGATATATATACGACATTGATATATACGACATTGATATAGTGTACGACATAGATATATATACGACATTGATATATACGACATTGATATAGTGTACGACATTGATATATATATATATATATATATATATATATATATATATATATATATATATATATAGACATGTCTACGACATGTCGTAGACATGTCGTAGACTTCCGTGCTGGTGGTAAGTCGGCCTGTCCGTTTGCCATACCAGTGCTACTGTCGACATCTCAGTCTGTCGGCCTATGTCTTGAACTATGTTTCTAACATATTTTATAGAGATTTCCCTGTACAATATCTATACCTACATGCGTCTGACCTGTGAACAATGTGTGTTGTAAGCCCGTCAGAGTTTCCCCAGTGGTTTGCCCCAGGTCCAGTGTGTAAGCCTGTGTGTGCAGGTTGTGTGGGCGGCCGGTGCGCGGTGTGGCAGACGTGTGCCCGCTACCGACAGGTGCGGTATGTGTCAATGTGTGTGTCCGGTATGGTATGTGTCAGTATGTGTGTGTGGGCCGCCATGCGCGGTGTGGCAGACGTGTGCCCGCTGCCGACAGGTGCGGTATGTGTCAATGTGTGTGTCCGGTATGGTATGTGTCAGTATGTGTGTGTGGGCCGCCATGCGCGGTGTGGCAGACGTGTGCCCGCTGCCCACAGGTGCGGTATGTGTCAATGTGTGTGTCCGGTATGGTATGCGTCAGTATGTGTGGACCGCCGTGCGCGGTGTGGCAGACGTGTGCCCGCTGCCGACAGGTGCGGTATGTGTCAATGTGTGTGTCCGGTATGGTATGTGTCAGTATGTGTGGACCGCCGTGCGCGGTGTGGCAGACGTGTGCCCGCTGCCGACAGGTGCGGTATGTGTCAATGTGTGTGTCCGGTATGGTATGTGTCAGTATGTGTGGACCGCCGTGCGCGGTGTGGCAGACGTGTGCCCGCTGCCCTCAGCACAGTGGGCGATCCGGCCGGTGTAGCCTCGCGAAACCTATCGGCATTCATAACATCCATGTTTTTGAAGCTAGAACCACAATATTTAGAAGCAACCTTCTTAAATATCCAATGAGCATATGTTTGAAATAAAGACTATCTCTTATAGGATTTGTGCTCTGTGGCGAGCTTGCAATTTGCCTAATTGCTGCTCGAATAACGCATGAATACTTTTGAGGGTAGGTCGAAATTTATGACGATATGAGCTGGGTAGGACATTGAAATGGTGTGTACCTCCATAGAAAATTGCTTCCAAACCAATTTTTTATTCAAACAATCATGCGCTACCAATTTGTACCTATCATGAAACAGCGTAAATCTCGCCCGGCAAGGCCCCATTTCATAACGTGACCCAAGCAGCAGGTTTGGTTTTTGGTAAATAACTTCGCAAAAAATGGCCGCAGAACCACGATTTTGACATCATCGTGTTCGCCTTGTTCAGGCGCGTCGAATGGTATACTTTTGTTTAGGTGAGGCCACCGTAAGGTCAACCTGACCTTGACCTCGAGTCAAGGTCAGGTCAGAGGTCTTCAAATCACGAAGTTGGTCGAAGGAGGTCATATCGCATATCATTCGATTCGGCAGGTCTTGCGGAGTCCATTGGTGACCTTGTCGACTCTCTAGCTCAATTTGATTGGGAGTTATTGACGAAAAACTCGTATGACCCTAGTGACGTCATAAATGACGTCATGCAAGGTCAACAATGCAAAAATGCAGCATCAAATCTTGCAAGGAGTGCATGAAGTAACGATTCCATGTATTTGAGACAATTGAATATCATTCCTGACGCCAAAATAACAGTTTTCATATTTCTCCATTGACTTATAGGTGAGGTCACGTGACCAACCTGACTTTATGTGACATTTAGGAAAAATCTGAGATATACAAGTTGTACGACCTCTGAAGGACAATAAGTTCTGCAAGTCTCACCTCCCTGTGAAAGTTACTTTGGCACTGAGAGCGTTGCAAGGTTGCGACATATGAGGATCGTGCAGAGGTTCATTTATGACGTCATAGGTCAGTGACCTGACCTGACTTGAAAGTGCGATTGGTGTCACAAGATCCAGTGTGCATCAAAGGTCAGGTATGCCAGGTTGCAGCTCTCTATTGCCTGGGTGTTTTGAGCTATCGCGAAAACACCCTTTGGGGCATTTACCACTTGTGCTCAAGTGCACCAAGCCACGGCCAACCCTTAGAAGAAAAAAGTGTCTGGATGCCAGGGCTGCAAGTGGCTGCAAATTTTCACTGGCTCCCCTAAAAGATAGTGTCTTAGTGCATGCGATACAGCATTATTTCCAGTTCATCCTCGTAAAACTTTTTTTGCTGTGCTTGGTTAATTCAGTGAACGTAATGTTCAGTGGTAGAAAAAAAATAAAAAAGTTAACCTAATTATAAGACATTTTGAACTGATTTTGTCTACTTGCTTTCTATGGCGGAATCGTCTAAACACCTAAATTTCACTTTCCATGCAAAATGGACGCTCAACACCTAGCAATTTCATCGTTCCGCAAAATATTCAAAGAGCGTAAAAATCGGCTGTGATTATCCCCCTTATGAAGTGTTACGGAACGCTGTCTTTAACGATACTTTTGTCTACGAAAAAATGTCTCCTGAGCCATACAAGTGCACTAATCGTAATCTTTGACGATTTTTCTGTCGACTAGTATGCGTTGTTTTCCAATTTTCGGAAAAAAGTGTCTTTGAGGTTTCGCGAGGCTAGACCGGCCCGATCGCCTACCGTGCTCAGGTCCGATGTGTTTGTATGTGTGTGTGGACCGCCGTGCGCGGTGTGGCAGACGTGTGCCCGCTGCCGACAGGTCCGATGATCGAGCGGATTGTGGCCGAGTGCCAGAGCCGCGACGAACAGCAGGCCTGGGTGTCGCAGCTGCTCGGACAGATCCAGGCGGCGCGCCAGTCGGCCTTCCTGCCCAGCCAGCCGCAGCCCATCCCCCACACGAGCGTGAGTTTCCTGCGGCACACGCCCGGCTCGGGCCGCTACGAGAGCGGCGTGCGCGCGTTCGTGGCGGCCGGCCCGCTGGCGCTGCACCAGCCCGTGCTCGAGTACGTGAGTGTGCCGTACGTGAGGCTGACGGAGCACATCGGCGAGCTGCTGCGGCGCGGCGTACTGAACGCCGGCCGGCTGAAGCGGCTGCTGTACGGCGCGCGCAGCAGTGGCTCCGAGTCGGCCGGCCGGCGGCGCAGCTCGGTCACCTGCCGGCGACTTTCGGCCGTCCACGTGCGCCGCAAGGTGTACCGCAAGCGGCGCGGCCGGCGCGGCGGCTCCGTCTCGTCGGCCTCCTCCAGCGGTACGCTCTCGCCCGGCGTCGGCAGCGACCAGCTGCGCTCGCTGAAGCGCTGGGTGCTCGAGGGCGAGAAGTCGTTCGAGCGGGACCGCAGCGAGGCGTCGCCGCCGCCGTCTCGGACGGACACGTTCCGAATCTCTGAGCCGGCGCTGCGCTCCGACAGTAACCCGTACGGCTGGATTCGCTACTTCGACGGTAGTCAGACGACGGCGGCGACAGACGAGAGCGGCCTGAGCGAGCTGGGCGGCGCCGGCGCCGGCTGGCTGTCGCTGGACCAGCTGTCGGCGGTGGGCGACCGGCCGGCGCCGGGCCGCCTGCGCCGCCTCCACTGGGGGCCGCGGCTCAGCTGGGACGCGCCCGAGCGTACCCGGTCGCTCTGTGAGCTGCCGGGCCGCGCCGGGCCGCTGCACGCCGCCGTCTGGGGCGACTCCCAGAGCCTGCCGTGCGTGGCCGGCGCGGCCGGCGCCTCCACCATCTGTGTGCCCGCGCCGCCCATACCGCTGCCCGACGAGATCTGGCTGGGTATTCCGTGCGGAGACTCGCAGGAGTCACAGGAGCCCGAGCTGCGGCAGTACTACCCGGGCAGCTCAGACTCCACCCCGTCCCTGGCGGCCGGCGGCGGCCCGCGGCCCCGGCCCCCGCTTCTGACCCGCCCCGCCCCGGCCAGCACAGAGTGTGAGGTCCCGGAGGCAGCGCGAGAGCACGACCTGCCCGGGAACCGCTGGACTGGCTGCTCCGGCAGCGGCTCGGTCCTGTCGTCTGGGGGACAGCGCTCGGGCGCCGCCAGCCGCGCGTCGTTGGCAGGCGCTCAGAGATCTGCCAGTCAGAGACATCAGTCTTCAGTCAGCAGTCAGCAGACCTCGGGCAGTCAGCGTTTTACCAGTCACAGGCATCAGTCGTCATTCTGCAGTAAGCAGTCGTCAGTCGGCAGCCAGAAGTCGGCGGAGGGCAGTTCCGCGACCAGCGCCGGACCGAGATGTGTCGATTTAGCGGCCATCAGGAGGAAACAGTTCTCGACTCGCAGCGGGCGGAGCAGCAGCTCGGCCGCCAGCCGGAGGCAGCATGACGCCATCAGTGAGACGGTCGCCGAGAGGAACTCCCCTGGCGAGAGCCGGCCGTCCAGTGGGGGTACCAGGGCGGCTGAAACGGACGGGATATGTCCAGCAGACAGTCACAGTGTGCCAGCCGGGAGCCCAAACCGTGCTGGCGCGTGTCTGAAACATTCCAGTACCAGTCACTCGTCCGCGAATGGGAGCCTTGCGAGAACCGACGAGGCTCCCAAACTTATCACTAAGGACGGGACATTCAGCAGCAGCAGCCATCAGCCGCCGGTGAGTCTGGCGGAGACCCGCGCCCCGCTCAGGGTGGCCCGGTCCGCCGCCGCGCGGCCCCGCTCCAGTCCGCCGCAGCTGCGTCCGTTCGTCAACCACTACGTGCACACGGTGGCGGTGCTGGACGCTCCGCCGGCCGCCCCTGTCGCCGCCCTGCCACCGCGGCCGGCCGCCAAGTGCACCTGTGATGTGCAGAGCGCCAACTCGGCCGACTCGGGTCTGGCGGACGTGTCGCACCACAACGCCTCGTGTCCGCTGCGCGGCGGCTCGACGCCGCGCCTGCGCCGCTCGTCGCGGCTCTCCTACCCGCGGCTGGCGCTGCTGAACGCCTTCTGGGCGGGCTCGCAGGCCAGTCTGCCGGCGGCCGCCGGGGTGCAGGCCGGCGGGATGCAGTCCAAGGGAGGGCGCGCTGGCGAGGAGCCGCCGCCGCCGTCCCGCACCGGCTCGACCCGCTCACTGCCGGCCCGGCGGCTGGGCGGTCAGCGGGAGCCCGGGGACGACCCGCCGGGCGGCGGCGCGGAGGGCGGCGGCGGCGGTGACGAGCCGCAGCCGTCCGTCCGGCCCCGGTCGGCCTCCAGCGGCGCCAGCTTCCGCTCCCACATGGTGGCCCACTGGTGGATGAAGACGTCCGTGTGTCCATGGGAGCTGCGCCGCTCCGAGGCGGTCGCCTGCAAACAGTACCTCTCGCTGCGCCGCTACCGGCCGCGGTTCGCCGGCGCGCCGCGCGCCACCAAGGCCTCGCAGACCAGCCTGGCGTCCCAGAGCAGCAGCAACTACAGCACGCGCGCGTTCAAGGCCAGCTCGGACCCGCCGCCGGACGCCGAGGGCGACGACCAGTGGGTGACCATGGCGGAGGTGGAGCTGGACGACCAGGCCGGCCACAGCGCCGAGGGTCTGCTGCGGCACGGCCGGCAGCCGGCGCTGCACCGCGTGGCAGCCCGCTCGGCCGTCCCGCCGGCCGTCCCGCCGCCGCCGGCCCGCAGCCACCTGCAGATCGGCCTGCTGGGCGGCCGCCGGCGGACCGGCACCGTGCGGCTCTCCTCACCGGACCTGGTGGCGCTGTCGACGGCCGGCGAGCCGCCGCGCCGCGGCTCCCGCTCCTCTCCCAGCAGCGGGCGCACCTCGCGAGCATCCCGCGGATCGCGCGGCCGGCGCGGGAGGTCGGTGTTCTGCTATGACGCGGCCACGGTGCTGGAGTCTTGCGCGGCAGCGGCCGTCGAGCCGGCCTCCTCTGAGGAGCGACTGTCCGACGGAGGGGCACGGAGAAGCGACCAGCGACGCTCGGAGAGCTGCGAGGAGCGCGAGTCGGACAGCGGTGCGGCGCAGGAGAGACCCGGCAGCTCGGATCGGGAACGGCAGTCGTCTTCAGCTGGAGAGAGGAGCTCGTTTGTGAGCGACAGGGGCCTGTCGCGGAGTGTGTCGCCTGGTGAACAGGCTCCACCGCCTCGGCCGCCGCCGTCGGCCCGCGCTCGCCGACGACTGCGGGTGTTCTGTTACGACGCGGCCACTATACTGGCCACATCAGCGCCTGTGGTGGTGAAGGCCGACCGTGGACAGATGTCGGCCTCAGCCAGGGTTGTGCGTGGCGCCTCCTCTCAGAGTGATCGTGGTAGTGCGGAGAGCTGTGATCAGACTAGCCTGCCGTCTTATCCGCACGTCGGCCCAGATGCCTCCTGCGCCGCTCAGGCCGGGGACTACTCTGAGTGGCCATCACCGCACCATCCGGTCCACCCAGTTCCTGAGACCTGTCCCGACCCCACGTGTGCTGAAATCCTTCCCGAGCGACTCCCCTCATCCTCCTCTCCTGAGTGGACCGTCCCCCTCCCGGGAACCGGGCAGCCCCGGTCCGGGAGCCGCGACAGCTCTGAGCCTGGCGGGGCCGAGCTGTGGCCGGCAGAGCGGCCGCTGGACTCGGCACTGATCCACCAGCTGAGTTCTGAGGACCGCGAGGCGCGCCGACAGGCGGTGTACGTGCGCTCCGGTTCGGCCGAGTCATGGCACCCGTGGAGACCCTGGAGTTCCTACAGCCGTGACTGTCCGCACTGCAGCAGCGCGGAGAGAGAGGAGGGTGGCGCCGCGCCGTCCACCGCGCCGCCATTGGAGAGAGGGGATAGTGGCAGTGTTCCTCCCCTAGACAGAGAGGAGGGATGTAGTACGCCTTCCCTGGACAGACTGGAAAGTGGTAGTGAGGATAGAGAAGCCGCGGATGTGGATCACTTGAGAGGGGAACGGGAAGTGTTTCAAGAAGAGCAGATGCAGCTCGAAGAGCCACCGGAGCTGCCGCCGAAAAGGCGTCCGAAAGACAGTGATGCTGCCAAGCGACCGGCGAGAGCAGCTGATTCACCCAGTCCCGTTGCCGTTCGAAGTCGCGGGTCATCACCGCGACCACCCGCCAGTAGAGAGATACCACCGACTCAGGACGTCGCCACCGACCCGTGGTATGACGCCGAACGAGCCGGCGACTCGGACCACCCCGTGCCGAGTGATCTCGGTCGCCGGCCGGGACTGCACTGTCCCCAGTGCTCGTCAGAGGAGGAGGCGGCGCTGGGACACTCTGCGGCGAAGGGACGCCCCACCCTCACACGACAGTCGCTCACGATCGGTAAGGAGAAGTCCCCAGTGTCAGCGTCTGAGCGCGGCGGGCTCGCGTCCCTCCCTGTACTGCTCAGCGGGGGCCGGCCCGGCAGTCGGCAGCGGCTGGACTCCGGCTCGGTGGCAGGCAGCGGCTCGGAGCTGTCACCCAGCCGCGGGCCGTCGCCGGTGGCCGGACAGCAGCGGCGGGGTACCACTGCCTTCGTGCCGCGCGAGGACGACCCGTCCTGGCGCGTGTCGCCGCAGGGAGACTGGAGTCGTGACGCCACCCCGAGAACGGACGGCGGGTCGGAGTCGGATGTTGGAGGAGGGAGGCGATCCCAGGAGGCGCGCAGCCGATCGGTGACCCCGGGAACGGAGGGAGACTCTGGGTCAGCACCAGGCACAGGAGTGTCGAGAGAGGGCCGGGGCAGGAGAGCAACTCCAAGGAGGGGCGAGACCGTTGGAAGAGAGTTGACACCGCAGAGGAGTGTAACGCCACACAGAAGCGTAACTCCACGGAGGAGCGTAACCCCTCAAAGAAGTGTAACTCCACAGAGAAGCGTGAGTCCAAGGAGAGAGCTAACTCCGGCGAGAGACGACCCTCCCCTTGGCGTAGAAGGCACAACCGCCGCTGATGACCAGATGTCTGGAGACGGTAGGCGGAGCCCGACCCCGAGCCGTGGTGAGCTGCAGCCACACGATCCCTTACTCGAACACCCAGGAGATGTGGGCGATCAGCCTGCGGACCGGAGCCGCGGAGTGACTCCTCAGAGGGACGCCTCCGCGGAGGAGCCGGTGGACGATGTCGGCTCGGGAGAGGAGGACGAGGAGGAGGAGATGCTGATGTTCCTCCTGAAGCACGGCGAGCAGCGTGCCCCTCCACCCGAGGAGCAGCGCGGAGACTCTCCGGAGGACGAGCGAGAGGGCCCAGCGTCCCCTCTAGTCCTGCCTCCTACGGAATTTACTGGTGTGGGAGCAATGGAGGATCACTTCAACAGAGGGGACGAAAGGGAGGAGGATCAAGATGTGGATGGAAAGATCCCTTCAGATGAAAATGGTGGGGAGGATCCACAGCCGTTGGAGGGATGGGCTGAGTCAGCTGACGAGGAGAGGCCAAGCGAGCCGCCGTCAGATGAAGGGCTCTGTAAGTCAGCGTCATTCGCGACACCGGAGCCAACGGAGAGCGCTGAGAAACAGGGAGAGTCAGAAGATGAAAGCGAGACCGCGGTGCATCTGGAGACCGATCAACCTAAGAGCATAGAAGTGCAAACCAAGCCAGAGGAACCTGAGGAACTTGAAGAGCCTGCGAGTACGAGCAGTCCAGACGAACACAGCGAACGGGAAACATCTGTCGACTCGCCCGCCGCACCCCGCCACCTCTCGCCACGACTCAGCCGTGAGATTCCCTTCATGGACGACAGTGAGAGTGAGCCCACCCTAACTCCTGCCCCGGTACCGGAAGGAAAATCGGCCCGAACGACGAGCCCCCCTCGGCCGGCGCCCTCCCCGCGGCCGGCCACCCCGCCCAAACCGCGCTCACCCCGGGCGCTGAGCCGGGCAGGGAGTCTGCCAAAGTCGCGGGCGCCGATCCCGCCGCCGCTGACCCTACCTCCTGAAGAGTCCGCTCGGCCGCCGTCTGCTCAGTGGACCCCGCCGGCGTCTCCCCAGACACCGTCGTCGGTCCGCTCAGGCCCCCCGCCGTCACCATCATCGGTCCGCGCGGGCCCGTCTCCGTCGCCGTCATCGGTGCGGGCCGGTCCTCCGCCGTCACCGTCGTCGGTCCGCTCGGGCCCCCCGCCGTCACCGTCGTCGGTCCGCGCGGGCCCTCCGTCGTCGCCTTCGTCGGTCCGCTCGGGTCCGCCGCTGTCGCCGTCGCCGCTCTCCATCGACCCGGCGGTGTACCGGCGGGCGGCGGCCGGGGCGGCGCGCCAGCCGCGGTTTGCTGAGGAGAGGATGGTGGGCGCGGCGCCACTGGCCCAGCCGGTCCACCTACTGCACGAACGCTGCGTGCCCTCCACCATCGCCGAGGATAGTGAGTCGAGTCAGAGTGAGCCGGAGGCGGCGCAGCGCACACCCACCGGTCCGCCGGCGGCGCCGCTGCCGGCGCTGGCAGCCCGGCCGGTGCGCCGGCCACCCCCCGAGGCCGCCGCCGCGCACCGGCCGCTGGCGCGCAAACTGAGCGCAGAGGTTGCCGACGATATCCCGGCCGCCATCGGGGAGGAGGCCGAGCCAGAGGAGGCGGCGGCGCCGCGACGGTGTCCGCTCAGCCAGCTGCCGCGCCTGTCGGCCACGCGCTCCACTGACTACTCCTCAGAGTCCGTGTCGAGCTTCGACGAGCCGGGCGGCGGTCTGCGCGCGCTGACGCTGATGGGTCGCTGCTCGGTGGTGTCGCACGACTCGGGGAGCAGCGGCGGCAGCAGCGGCGACGACGCCACCCTGGTGGAGGAGACGGCCGCCCAGGTGGCCGCTGGCCGCCGGCTGGAGATGTACACTCGCCGGCTCCGGGACGTACTGGAGCGGACCGGGCTGCGCAGTCCGCCGCCGCAGCGGCACCGGCCCGCCGCCCGCGGCCGCGGCCGGACCGCCGCGCTGGCCCTGGCGCCCATCACGCCGTACCCCCCGCACGCCTACCTCCCGCCGCCGCCCGTGTCTCGGTCTCCGGAGACTGCCTCCCGGCCCGCCGCGGTCGGTCCGCCGGCGCCGCACCGGCCGCCCAGCCTGGGCAGTAGCGGAGGGAGTTCGAGCGGTGACGAGGTGCGCACCAGCGCCGGCGGCTACTGCGGCTGGCGGTACCAGGTGGCGGCGCCGGGCCCGGACACGGAGGACGCCGCCGAGACGTCCTCGCCGTCCGAGCCGGCCTCCAGCACCGACGACTGCGCCGTGCCGATCGTGGGGGCGCCGTTCAGCGGCCGGCCGCCCGCCGGCCCGGCGGACGGGCCGCGCCGGGCGCCGCCGCTCTCTGCCGCCAGCCGCTCCAGCACGGGCACCGACTCCCGGCCGCCGCCGCTGGAGCAGTGGCGCTCGGCCTCCAGCGGCTCAGAGGAGGCGCCGGCCGGCCCGCCGCCGCCGCCCCGGCCGCGGCCGGCCGTCACGGCGGCCTCCAGCTCGGACTCGGAGCCGCGCCGACCCAGCCCGCCGCCCAAGCCGGCCAACCTGCGGCGCCGCGCCCGACCGCGCCACCACTGACAGAGGCAAGCGTCCGCCGGCCGTAACCTGCCTGCCCGCGCCGTGTGGTGTGCTGCTCGCCCGCCCGCCCACCTGCCCGCCCCGCACGCTCCGTACGGCAGACTGAGGCTGCGCCGCCGCGCCCGGCCGCCGCCGCCGCCTCCACAGCGCCTCAGAACGCGCGCTGGCCCGGCCGCTAGCTACCGCCGGCTCACCGCTGTGTGCGATACCCTCTAGCGGCTGACCTGTCGTCTTTTGATGTCCCATATTTGGTGTAGTTTCGCTTGTTTGAGCAGGCCCTCCGTATCGGTGTTTTATATTGAAGTAGCGTGTGTAGTGGCTTTGGTTTAGTGTGTAGATCTGTTTTGTGCCGACTTTCTGCTGTTTCCCTTCTCACTGCACTCTTATTACCTGGCGTGGCTAACATCAGCTCGTTGTCAGTAGCCATCATTGTACTGAACAGCGCTTAGCCCTTACTTTGTGGTTAACAGTAACCGTTTGTCTGCTTTTGTTTTGGGGTTGACATATTGTGCATAATTGGTTTACTTTGCTACATAGTTTTAGGACAAAACAGTTACCAGTGCGCTGCTACGGTATCATTTCTTATACCACATTTCAAGTTGATTAATGCACTGCTTGACAAACGTCTGCCGTCAGCAGTCGACACCTCTGGATAATTTCCCAAAGTTTATCAGAGCTTTATAACATCGCGTCACATGGTTCTCGCTGACTGGTACTCGTGTGCCCGCGTCTGACCTCCGCCCGGTGGCCGCGCCCCAGGTGGCTCCGCCGCCGCCGCCGCACCACGCGCCCGTCAGCGAGGTGGGCGTCTCCAGCGCGCCCGGCCCGCTGCGACCCTGGACGGCCGCCTGCCTGCGACCCTCGCCGCCGCTGCGGCCCTGCCTGGCGCTCGGACGGGAGGACACCAACAGAAAGAGCAGCAGGAACATGGTCTACAAGTACAAGAAGCGAGGTAGGTATATTGTAGGTGGCGACGCACTTTGCGCTCTCATGCGGAAACAGCACGTGAGTGGTGTGTGCGTGCATCCCTGTGTGCTTTATTACTATTGGTACCATGCCTCCATACGGCCTCGGGTACTGAATAGAGCCATAACTGACGCCGGTTTGGATCTGCCGCCGCCGACCGATCGTCGCTGGTTTTGGGAGCCGTCCATGACAATTGACATCGGTATAACTGACGCGTCTGGGCGTGGCGCTGTTGGGAACATCTGGGCCCTCATTTGTTTGATGTCGCCACTTTGGGACACGGCCGTCGGCCAGCCGTTTGGCACCGGCGGCGCCGACCCCGGCGGGATTTATTTTGGCGTGGGATGGGGATGCTTTGTCTGCAGTGAGAACTGAATGTGATTTGTTTTGTGTCGGTGCGGTATGTGATTTATACGGTGAGACGTCTGTGTGATCGGTTCAGAGTCCGATGAGTTGTTCAGTTGGGCGATTTGTTCAGTATATGAGTCTGTTATTTTTGTCAGCAGGCGATGACCGTTCATATGAGGATGACGCCACGATTCTGCGTGTGATCGAGGCGTACTGCACCAGCTCCCAGCCGCGGCACACCGTCAACTCCTGTGAGTGTTCTGGCTATCAGCGATCCCCGCGATCCCTCCATATGGCACTAGGGGATGTTGGTGTCCGGACATCGACATCACACCTCACACTGCTTTGAAGGATAATTAATTGAAGTTTATTGACAAGATTTGTGCTGCTGCGTTTAATTGGATGACCGGATAGGAGGTGAAGGTGTGGCCTTTAGACCCACGCTAGGCTTTCTAGCCAGCGTGCTCAGTATGTAGCTTTGGTGTGATTATCCATACCTCCGTTAGGACAGCCGGTGGTCCGGCATGGAGAACCCTAGAGTTCGTGACGAACATCTCCCGTCACCCTCCTCCCCATCCCTGCTTGACCTGTCGTACCAAGGAGTTTCTTACACACCTCTCTCTGTCTCCTTTCCAGCGCTGCTGGACCCGCCGCATCCCATCCCCGAGGAGCAGCAGCAGCAGCAGCAGCCGGGCGGCTCCGGCTCCGGCGGCGGCGGGGTGTCAGCGGCGGCCGCCCTGGCGGCGCTGGCCGCCGGCGCCGGCCCGGCCGTGCCCGCCCAGCAGGAGGAGCGGCTGCTGGAGAGCGTGCAGCAGCTGCGGGACGAGGTGCGCCAGCTGCGCGACCGGCTGGACGACGAGCGGCGCCGCCGACAGCACCTGGAGACCATCGTGCGCACGCACCTGCTGGCCGGCCGCAGCGACATCCGCTGGGACGAGTGAGCCGCGCTGACATCCGCGGGACGAGTGAGACGTGCTGGGGCGGGAGGACGGAAAGCGCCGTCTGACGGAGGAACGGGCCGAGAGGGGACGGGAGGGCGGAGCGTCGGAGACAGTGCAGCCGGGCGAATGGGGAGGGATGAGAGACCGTAGCGGCACAAATGATAAGGTCACACTGTGTGAGTGATGATGTCAGAAAGCTGGAAAGGTCGACGTAAGGTGATGCACAAGACTTAACATTTGGCAAGCTAGGACGCGGAATGGCGGCAGCATTTATTGGCAGCAGTGCTGCCACCTGTATCAGGACGGCACGCAGCAGTACGGCGGCTAGGGGGCGCTAAAAGCCGCCCGCCGGTGGCGGAGATCAGGCAGCATATCGAGGTCGCGAGGCGGGCGTGAGGTCGCACTCCTCTCCGGCTGAGGGGAATCGGTGGGTTCACCGGTAACGCGGGCGGTCACTGCACTCTTAGATCGTGGTCGAAGTATCAAAATCGGACTATGATTCCAACTTCCAGCTTGTCACGGTGATTCGGCTTCGACTCTGCCAAGAGGGCTACCGAAATGTGCGGCGACTCGCGCTGTCTGGTGGGGAGCCGCGGACGCCGTGCTATTGCAGAGGCGGGAGAAGGGCGCAGGTACGTCACCCGACGTGTACCCGCACCAGTCGCTCATGTTTTGCCAAACGACCCGTGCGACCCGCGGTGTAACGCGAGTCGGCCAAACCCGGTGCCTGGGGCTGCGTCCGTCGCAGCCACTTACTGGCGTGATCAGCTGTAGCAACTGAGCTCCCTCGTTTTACACGGGAGCCGCTGTCCGAACTGCGGTAGTGATTGTGATGTTCGCCGACAGAGTGTATTTATGTGACGTGTGTCCGCGTATCCAGCCGGTCACCGAGGAAATATATTGTTTAGACGTAACCGGTGTCTCTTCCTCGGGTCCTTCCCGGCCGGCCCGTGCCTCATTCCCAGGGTATGAGTGTGTGTGACAGCATGGGCGGTCTACCTGTGGATGAGAATGGCATTTCAATTATTACCAAAGCTCTATTTCAGGTGTTATCTCTCCTTAGGGCTTAGATAACCTGTTGAGTGTTGACTGACAAGCATGTCGGGATCGGGTGAGGTAAAACGGAAGCGTCATTGGTACGACAGAAGCTGCTTCAGCCTTCAGTGGTTCGCCATGTCCCTTCTGTCCCACGTCCCCGTCCCCTCCCCTTCCCAGCGTCGCTCCCCTGCACTCCGTCCGCTCCCGTTCCCAGGGTTTCGATGGCCGGCCGGCGCTGGAGGAGGGCTTGGAGGAGGGGGAGGGGTGGGGGAAGGGGCGGGCTGACGGCCGGCGGTGGAGGAGGGGGAGGGTCGGCGGCCGGGTGCCAACAGCGCTGTGATTGGGCGACCGGAGGTGACGCCGCTCGTGTTCAAGGCCAATCCGAGCCGGCGTGGTCGCGGAGGCGGGAAAAGCGGATGAGCCGGTCGCCTTCTCGCAGTCTTTTCCAGGCCCATGTCGTCCCCTATCTCCGCGTGTGTCCACTAACACGAATGACGTCACGCATGTGGGCGGAGCTATGGGCGGAGCCTAACGCACGCGGCAGTCCAAGCCGCCATATTTGAATTTATATTTTAATAGAATCTTGCCGATATTTTGGGTGAAGTCAATTTATATGGATAGCTTGGTGACAGTTTAGCTATACGAATAATAATTTATTATGGATGTGCGTATATTCAGCTTGGAATTGCAATTAAAGTTCCGCACCGCATAGATTCGAACTCGGGACCTTTGGAATACTGCGCGGGCACGCTAACCACTACACTACCGCGACCGCGCGGCGGCCGGCGGCAGGGAGGCTGCGGAGACATGGGGGGACATTTTACGCTTTTGTGAAAAAAGCAAAAGATTTAGCGAAAAACACGTAATAGATAACTTGCAGAAAATTGTCTGCTCTTTCAGATAAGATACTTAGGTTTGATATATCTTGTGCAGACTTCATTCTACAGTGCTTCGAAAATCGTATATTTACATGGGGATTGAACGGGGCTTCGAGACTTGACTCCAAATGACGTCACGAGCTGACGTCACGAAAAGGTAGAATCGCCGGACGACCCTACCTGGTATATAGGGCCTTGGTCTTTTCCAGCATTTCACCAGAAGAGTATTGAGTTCTTCACTGGTGGCACTTGCCATAACTTCAGGAGATGGAGCTGGCGTACTGGAATATTCGTGGGGTATGTAATTATACCGCTTGTACCCTGTGATAATGTGTTTATCAATATCAAAAACACCGGCTTTCGAATCCCAACTCAAGCCTCAAGCTCAAGCTGTGAATGACTGATTTCTATGGATTCGTTATTTCTTCTGCAATCATTGGGGGGGGAGATATTTTGAGTTTTTTTTTGCTGTATGATGTGATTTGTGAAGATTTGTGTAATGGTGTGAAGACAAATGTGCTCTTTCCTTATGTCGGTGTAATTTTGCTAACTTGAACTGAAGGTTGTGGTGGTGTGTGATGGCTAATAACAGGATTCTGGACTTCTTGTCATTATATAAGATGTTAATTGTTACCCAGGATTCTGATGATTAATTTGTTGAATATCTGACATCTCACATTTTCTCTTATTATTACTGTGGCTCCACATTGTTCTCAAGCATGCTTTTATTCACATTTTGATTTTCCTTATTGTAACATGCATTTCCAAAAAAATCCCAAGTAGTAAAGTTTTCATGCTTTGGAACAATCTGGTTTGCAGAATATTCAGAACCATAATGATAATAACCTATTTTTCAGCTCGCCCAGCCAATTCGCCTTTTGTTGGAGTACACAGGGGAGAAATATGAAGACAAGAAGTTTGAGTGCGGCCCTGCCCCAGACTATGACAAGTCATGCTGGTTTGATATCAAAGAAAAACTGAAGCTGGACTTCCCCAATGTAAGTACCATATTGACTACCAGTACCAATCTTGAGGTATTTGAGCTCTACTGGCTTTGATTGGGTCACACAATGGATTGCAAATGCTGTGCAGTGTTGACCAGCACTGTCCAAACCAGAGCATATAGGTTCCAAAACAGCCTTTTCAAAATGTGATGGTTCCCAATATAAGACTCAACCAAGCAGTGCTGAGCTGGGGGGCCTGCTGTAAAAACCTTAGGCCTGTCCAACCAATGTCCAACTACCCCTTAGTTCTTGCCTGAGGGGTGTTCACAGGCACCGCACACTGCTGCGTGCGGTGTGTGCGGTGCGTCCAGCAGGCGTGGGGGTAGGGGATGGGTAGGCGGCTCTGACGTCACGGCTGCGTGCGGTGGACGGTCCGCTGTGGCCAGTCCCGACCGGCCACAGCGGTCGCTGTGTGCGGTGACGGAAGGCTGACGTAGGGACGCAGTGGGCGGAGCTTGGAGGCTGTGTGCGGTCCGACCGCACACAGGGCCCGTGAACAGCCCTCTGCATTTGCCATTTCACCACTCCGTAATGGATGGGGATGGTGGCCGCTGAGTTCTGCTGAGTTCTTCTGTTTGCAATTGAGATAAAGCTTTGAATGAAAAACTAACAGATTTTTCAGGAAGGGACGAATCTAATGGTAACCAATTTTACCACCTGAGCTCAAATCTGGACCCTCCCAGGTCAAGTTCATGTAAAATTGTCGCTGCCTTTGCGGTAATCGGGAGAGATTGTGCGTTATTGTCCGCTTCAGATGGAGTGGCCAGAGTGGCTTTTATCGATTTCCAGTACCCGTAATGGCAAGCAACTTTCACGTCCGATCAACCGCAGTGTCTATAAATGCGCTGAACCCTGGAGTCCAACCAACTATCGACGTCAGGTCAATATGCGTCCTCATCCGTCATACTACGTTCTCATCCCAAATTGTTCCCGCTGATGAACAGTTTCCGCTACATCCGAACCGTTCCCGCTACGTCCGCTACTTCGTTGTATGCGTTTGAAGGAACATGAAGTAACGTAAAACGGCGGCTAAACGGGCTTGATGCAACCCGAAGGGGTGCTAAAGTCATGTGTGACCTTGATTTCGGCAGCAGGAGCCAAAAGGCACTCTGACCAGCGGCCGCTGGTGCTGCCTCTTACGTATGCCCCAGGCTGATCGTCCCTGTACCCGCTGATTCCTGGTTTGTCCCTCTCTGACTGCGTGGTTCTCGGACAGCTGCCCTACCTGATGGACGGCGACGTGGGCGTCACCCAGAGCAATGCCATCATGCGCTACATCGGCCGCAAGCACGACCTGCTCGGCAAGACGGAGCAGGAGCGTGTCCGTGTCGACATCATGGAGAACCAGGCGATGGACTTCCGCAACGGCTGGGTGCGCCTCTGCTACAACCCCAACTTTGTGAGTCGGCCGGGGAGGCGAGACGCCGAGTACACTCTGAGAGACAATACTCGAAACATAAACATTGCTCGGCGAAACATTACTCGAGACATGACGAGGAGAGGTCAGTCGAGATGAATATCAATATCGATTTAAAATGTCAATCTTCTCTATTATGGCTGATTACATCAGGGATATGCTAGGGAGCTTTGTTTCGTGTAATTAAAGGGAAAATAATTATTTATCCTGTCCGTCGGTGATCTATCGATAAAGACGGTTACATAGACCAGTTAAACAGATCAGTTAGAAATAGGTAAACATTTCACGGAAATTACTTGCCCGGAGTAGCACATGATTTACAGCCAATAACAAAACAGGCGTCAAATTTTCGACGTTTATGCAAGTCTAACAGCTCGCAAGCGGTAAAGGAGTGTGTATTCTAAAGTTTGATTGACCGGGTTTCCGATCTCCTTCCGTTACAGGACGACATGAAGGAAGGCTACCTGAAGTCGGTCAAGGACGTGATCGCCAAGTTCTCCAAGTTCCTCGGAGACAGACAGTGGTTCGCCGGAGAGAACGTGAGTTCGCCCTTAGGCTAGGGCCGGCTTTCTGTCCGCCTAAATAGCCACGTTATTTTGTACCAGAAATCAGACATTTACGAAGTCTGGAGGTTGCACCTGCACATCGTCGAGGCAATCGCTGTCCATTGACCGGGCTAATGTGCCTCTCGTTGCTGTTTTGACTATTGCTGAGGACAATTAGACCGAATGCCTCCTCATTGACTCCGTGCTGGTCGCTCCTAGTGTCAATAAAATTAGCCCCAATTGATGCCAGCTGCGGCCGTCATGACAGTCAGAATGACTGGCAAATATTGTCTGATTAATCCCCATTTGTTTGTGTGTGGTGGTCAATGGCCGAGTCGTGGTCACGGGTTCGAATTCATCGTGAATGTATACAGTTAGATGAGCAAAATGAGGTTAACGTGGTCCGCCACTGTAATTTGTCGTGTAGGATACTTTCTGTTCACTCTTTGTGATTGTTTGTGAGTGTTTGAGCGATTGGCTCAGAGCAGGTAGACCATGATGACCTCCATTGACGAAAGTGACCAGCACTTTGTGACCATTGCATATGGGGGCTGAAATAATGCTGCATCACGAATTGATGCGTGTCGCTGGCACGAAACGGCTGACAGATAATAGACAACGGGCATGCTGTCGAATTAGAACGCACAGATGAGCAAGCATAGATATTAGATACTTTATACCAGAACTTCCTTCTGCATGTGGATCAGAGCCGAAAGCCAGTAGGTTCGTCGTTTCTGTGTTTCGAACTGCGTCCACGATAGGGTAATTGCGAGTGTCGGTACTCCGTTGCCTATGCATATTGCATATAGTGCTGGCTGACCGTGTTCTTTGACCGCGTTCCTTCTCCCGCCAGTTGACCGTGTTCCCCGGCCAGCTGACCGTGTTCTCTCGGACCGCGTTTCTTCTGACCGTGTTCCCTCTGACCGTGTTCCCTACCCCTCCAGCAGCTGACCGTGTTCCCTCTGGGCTCTGACCGTGTTCCCTCTGGGCTCTGACCGTGTTTCCGCTGACCGTGTTCCCTCAGACCGTGTTCCTTCTGACCGTCAGCTGACCGTTTTCCCTCTGGGCTCTGACCGTGTTCCCTCTGGGCTCTGACCGTGTTCCCTGCCCCGACAGCTGACGGTGGTCGATTTCGTCATGTACGAGCTGCTGGACCAGCACAAACTGCTGGACGCCACGCTGGTTGAGGCGCACGACAACCTCACCAAGTTCATGAAGCGTTTCGAGGAGCTGGAGCCCATCAAAGCCTACATGGCCAGCGACCGGTTCATGAAGGGACCGCTCAACAACAAAATGGCCAAGTTCGGCGCCGAGTGACGGCGATCAGTCTGGGCTGTGGGATCGGCTATCGGCGCGCGGGCTCAACTGACGGCACACTGGCCACCGGACGCCTGTGCTGGCGGTCAGTGCTCAACTCTCAGTCATGTGACAGTCATGTGGAATTCAGACGTGAGGAAGCTGTGGCTATTGTGTGTCGCACCTAGTTAGTGGGGAAACATAGATCTGCCGTTTGTCTCGAGACGAATAATCGTCGCTAGTGCCAAGAATGCTACACTCTTTGTGTATGCAGTTTGTTTCGAACCGTTTTAGCTGTGATTTACTCCTTTGGCAAATATATTTTTGTTTATTTCGTTATATCTCTTTTTATTTAATTGTTCCGCTTTAGAGGATGATGAAGCGTTCGTATGTTTCGAATATTCTTAGCAGTTTTTAACTAGCGAGCGAGTTTATCTGCGGTATAACAAGAACTGTCACTATGAGGAGCCCGATCCGGCCCCACGACGTTTTTTTACGGCAATGTATCTTGGCAACCGCTCGACTGATCAACAACCGGCCTTCTGCATCAGACAGATCCATCTCTCATTTAGGGAGGGGGGTCGACGGACCCCTCCCATTTTCACACAAACGTTAAAAAAGCAAAGCATCGCGACGAAGCTTCCGTTAAATCCGTACCCTAGATTTAATCAATTATACAGATCTGAAAATGTTTGACCGTGACCCAAATTATCTTATACATGTGACCATATTCTCGAAACCATGTTGGGCTAGAAGAGTGATATGGCTTATGTCCGCACGTGATCGATCGATCGCATGCACCGATCTACTAAGTACTAGGGATAGCATTATAGCCGACGATTGGTGCACGGGTATAGACCGGCCAAGGTGGCCCGCACATGTCAGTTGGAGGTCTTGCAATTCGCATCGTTCTTTTACGCGTAGGTATAGAGCTCCAGGCTGGCTGACTGTCTCGATTGCTTGTTGGTCGTCCAAAAATACTTCGTACTGGATCACATTTGAAGTTACGTGCCATGGCACAGTTTGTAACGGAGAACAGATGCAGCCTGTGCGAGGACATTGGTTCGTGTGACAAGCATAATTGTTTTCGCGTAAAAATCCTTGGAAGTTAAATTTGGTGCCTAGGCGGATAAATGGAAGCGAGTCGCGCTTCAAAAACCGGTGTTGGTATGCCACTGCGTACCATACAGAACGTTTGGACATTTAGCAAACTAGCTGTTCTAAAAAAAAAAAATGCTTAGGGTAGACCAGAAAACGACCAATTTCGACGCTAAGTTATATTGTCTTTACAAAATACATCGGGCAAATGCAGCATGACGACGCGGCGCCGGGAAGTACATGCTACCAAAGAACCAAACGCTCGTTTCCGTATGCACCGGCCGCAATGGAGATGGCGCCTCTCGGCGCGGAGGGCCGAGGGCGGAACAGCAGCAACACACTGCGGCCGGCGGCGACAACGCCCCAACACACCCGCGCGCACACACACAAACAAACACCTCAGGGAAAGTGGCGTCTAAAAACGGATCGCCACAAGCTGGTCGATTTATAAAACACGTTTAAAGGCACGGAATGCGCCGTTCAGAGCTCACCTTCGTCGCAACGTAAACATTTGTACAAGAAGGCTAAATGTCGGCGATAGTGAAACACGTGATCGCCAACATTTTTCGCACTAAATTCCGAGGACTTTCTTTAGTAACAAATGCGATTCTTAGCTACATAAATACACGGTGAGTCACCGCGCGCTTCTCTGTGGCTCGGAACCACTGCGTTCTTCATGTACAAATCGGTATAGTCCCCTAGCATGGTGAGCAACGAGTGGTGAGATCCATTCAAAATCACATCAGATACTGCTCCGAAGCTGGAAACCGACGCGCAGCACACCCATTTTGGCAGTCGCACCGAATTTGGCGCGACCGAGCGGCGGCCGGCGAGCGCGGCGCCCGTGGTCGCCGACACCGCAGTCTCGTCTGCTCACCTCACGCTGCCCCCGCCCGTCCCCACCCCAACCCCGCACAATAATATTCGCGTATGATACACAGTTGGCTGTCCTAGTGTCTATGTACACTCAACGGCACGCCCGCACTCACTGTCTTTGCACTTTACGAAACACCAGTCGCTGGCTGAGGCGCGGCGCGCCGCTAGATATAGACGCCCTCGCCGACGGGCTGGTGGTGCTGGGGCGGTGGCGGCGCCGGCGGCTTGGGCTGCGCGCCCGGCGGCGAGCACACGCCGTCCGACCAGCCGCCGGCCGAGTGCGGGCTGCTGGTCGACCACTGGCCCGGAGAGTCGGGGCTCGGCGTCGGGTAGTGGTCCGGCGACAGCTGCACGTGCTCGCCACCCAGCGAGTGCTGCGACGGCGGCGTCGGGTAGTGCGGGTACATGTGCTGCTGCTGCGGCTGCTGCTGCTGCTGCTGCGGGCCGCCGCACGCCAGCTGTGTGAACTCGGCCTGGCCGTAGGCGCCGGCGTCGTACGCGTACTGCTGGTGGCCGTTGACGCGCGCCGCGCCGCGTATCGCCGCCATGTGGGTGGGCGAAAGCGCCATCACCGGCCGCTGCTTGCACGGCGAGAGGGCCTGGGGCGAGAGCGCGCCCGGCGGCGACGGCGAGTAGTTACTGCTCTGGGGCGACGGCATGAACGTGCCGGGCGACATCTGCTGCAGGCCCGGGTAGCCCTGCTGCTGCTGCTGGCCGTGCGGCAGGGTGTGCTGCCGCGGCGCCGGCTGCGGCGGCTCCTGCTGCTGCTGCATGTGCTGCAGGTATCCCTCCGGGCTCATGCCGACGGCGGCCGGCATCGACTTCTGTCGCGGGTGGAAGAAGGGCTGCTGCGCGCCGCCGGCCGCCTCCATGCCCGCGCCGCGCAGGCTCTGCATGCTGGCGGCCGACTTGACGCAGTCCTCGTACGGCGGCGGCGGTTTGTTGGGTATCCGCATGTCGTAGTGCTGCGACAGCGACGCCACGTTGGCGTACATGGCCGTGTCGAGCGCGTCCTCCAGCATCTCCGGCGACAGCTGCTCCAGCTGGTCGGCCTTCTTGCGCTTCATGCTGGCCGTGCGCGCCTTGCGCTCGTCGTCGGCCGAGCCGCCGGCAGCGCCCTGCGACTGCGGCGGCGGCAGCGCCGCGCGGGGCCGCTTCTTGGGCTTCTTCATCAGGGAAGACATGTCGGCCTGTGAGGCCGAGCCGAAGGACTGAGCGCTGGGCATCTGCTGGAGACGGCAGAGAACAACGGCGTCAGACAGGGTCGAACGGCGTCAGACAGGGCACGGCGTGGGACGCACATCCAACAGATATATGTTTACCTCGAAAATATTACTCGAAAAATTCCATTTCAATATTTGTTCATACAGAGGTTTATACAGATCAGAGATCACAACCATGAACAAACACACCTTTTCCAAATTAGCACATCTGACCTCGGATAATGTTTTCCTGCTAAGAAAACAGCGATACAACAGCGACCCCTTTTTCCCACAGCCCACGGCGCCCTGTCCGCCGCCAGCCCACGGGCTCCCGGTCACCCACCTGCGGGCTCATTGTGACGTGCTCGTCCAGTAGTCGTACGATGTCGTGGTGCAGCCGCTCGGCCGCCACGTCACGCGGCAGACGGTCCATATGGTCCGTGATGTCTCGGTTGGCGTAGTGATCCAGCAGCAGCTTGCAGGCCTGGTACGAGCCCTCGCGTGCCGCCTGGAACAGCGGTGTCTCGTCCTGCGGGCACACACCGAACGACCAGTCAGTGATGGGTAAAAACACTCGGCTTCATGGATAGCCGTACAAAAAAGGTAATGACAGGGGATGATGATGATTGGGGTTTGAATGGCGTTACAACTATAAAATTGAATGCCCCTAATCAGCAGTAAAGTAGAGACACGAACAGCTTTAGTTTTTTTTTTTTTTTTTTGAAGCAACAACACCAGTGCTCCACTAAATAAAGAGAAACATTTGACGTTCTCACAGAATAAGGTCCAAAAATTGTAGGGTTCGCCCCGTAGCCAGTGACTCACCTTGTTGTTCTGGGCGTCCCGGTTGGCGCCGTGCGTCAGCAGAATCTGCACGGCCTCGACATTGTTGACAGCGGCCGCCCAGTGCAGCGCCGTCTTGCCGCTGTCGTCGGCCGCGTTGACGTCGGTGTCGGCGCCGATCAGGTCCTCCACCATTCCCTCGTTGGCCAGCCGCGCCGCCAGGATCAGCGGCGTCGTGCCGTCGTTGGAGCGCGCGTTCAGGTCCGTCGACCGGTTACGGAGGAGGATCTGGAAGACGCCCTGCGCGTCGGAGGCGACGGCTGCGTGCAGCGGCGTGCGGCCCGTCGAGTCCTGGCAGTTGACGTCGGCGCCGGCGTCCAGCAGCCGTTTGGCGGCGTCGGCGCGGGCGTAGCGCGCCGCCAGGTGCAGCGACGTCTCGCCGGTCCGGTCCATGGTGGCGTTCAGCTTGGCGCCCTGGTTGATGAGCTCCTGGATGACGCTGGCCGAGCCGTCGTCCACGTCGTCCTCTGTCTCGGGCTCGGCCACCGGCGTGGCGCCGCCGTTCCGGAACGAGGCGATCATGAGCGGCGTCATGCCCATCGGTCCGCGCACGTCCACGTCGGGCGCAGCCGCCTCGCCGTGTGTGGGCGTCAGCGCCAGCAGGTCCGGGTTGCGGATGTCGGCGGCGTTCATGTGCTGCTGCGTCCAGCCGCGGTCGTCCTCCACATCTGTGACGACCGTGTGGTCGCTGCCGTACGGGCCGCTGTCCAGCCGCTTGGCGCTCGGCTCGTCGTCGTCCGACCACTGCGGCACGTTGTCGTTGCTATCCAGCTCGGCCAGCCGGCTCTGCGAGATGTGCCGCATCTCCTGGCCGTCGGGACCGGGCCGACGCGAGTTGGTACGCCGCGGCCCGGGCGCGCTGCCCGCCCCGAAGAAGCCCTCGGGGAACCAGGTGACGCCGCGGTCGCGTTTCCGCTTGGTCTGCACCAGCACGCCGACCAGGATCATGACGAAGACGAGCAGCAGGATGATGGGGATGACGTACTGGTAGGCGCCGCTGCCACCCGGCGTGGGCGACACGCGGCCGCCCGAGCCGTTCACCTCGTAGATGGGATATGATGAGGAGAGTTGCGCCATGGAGGCGGCCGCGCCCAGGTAGCTGGCCGCCTGCTCGGCGTCGATGAAGCAGCGGCCGCCCTCCGCGCGCGCGCAGTTGCGGTTGTCAAGGCTGACGTACACCTCGGTGCCCTTGCCGACGAAGCGGTAGCGGTAGGGCTCGCGGCCGCCGCCAGGGCTGATGGTGCGGCTCGGCTGCCAAGGGTACACCATCGGCTGCCCGTTGCCGTCGCGCTTGATGACCACGTTGGTGCGCAGCTCGCG